ATATAGCTTCACTTAGGGTTATCCTGTCAGTTCCTTAGCCTCCTGAGAATAACCAAAGACTTTAAAAGCAGAAAGCAGCACTTAATCTCGTAAAAGATTTTCCTTATAACTTTGTGCATGTTGAGTACACAAGACATTTCCATGGTTTCAGTCCACTCACTTTACAATAAATTTTCCATGTATTAATTTTGATCGGGCAGTTAATTGCCATTTGTTAACTCATAACATAACTTTCCCAGACATTTGTTACAATAATAACCAAACAATAAGAATACTAAGTAGACATCATATTCCTACATGAGGTCAGTCTATCATTCAGACAGGTTGTATACTATGAAGCAGTTAAAAGAGAAAACTATCTCTATTTTATTATCTCAAACTGACAGAACAAATAGTAAAAGATTTATAGGGTAAACAAGACAGGTAGCTGAAACAAAAATAAACTACAAAAGTTCATACTATTTGAAGTTACAGGATCAAAAATTAGGCCAAAATTTCAAAATGTAACAAATTAAAAATCTTATCAAAGCTGAATAAACTGATGTAGATTTGTGCAATACAACGACTTAAACTGTGTTCCTTTCACTCCCAACGTTTAAAGCAGCTTCAAAGAAGACGCTGTATGCTGCAATATACCATAATAATAACCAAAAAATTAACTGTAAGCCAAATACGATAAAAATACAGCTAATAACCGCACCAACAAATTTCGGAAAATAAAACGCATAACGTATTTTCCATCCACAAAAAAAACATACAAAGGTGAAGCAAGGTTAGACAATACGAGAAGCTGTCAGGATAAGTTACCCTGATTAAAATACCACGACATGGAGAGTTCAGTGATGTTCAGGAATGGCTCATCAACAAAACAACAGGGAAAATCACTGCAATAGCCAAAGATCGACAATATTTTTCATTTTCCGTCTAGTTTTAGTGTAATGCCTTTTCATTTTCACGAATACAGCTCGAACTAAAGAAGGAGAAAACTAAATTAAAGATGACATTGGATTTAGCAGTAAGGAAAAGGACATCTACCGTTTGACAGCCACGAAATATCAATGCAGAAGCCAGCCACTACGTTTACATATGACTACGAAAAACTCAGTACTTACTTGGCCTAAAGATACTCTGGATTGATCTGGGCTTCCGTTCATACCAGAATGACTCACGAAATTATTCGCCAACTGTTCTTGTTGCAGCTGAGGTAACGGATTTTGAAAGGGATTGCTCCCGGAATTACTCGCGTTCATATTAGTAGTTCGAGAAAATGTCGCTCCGATTTCGTGCGCCACTGTATTCAAAGCGATCGATTGAGTCGCTGAGCTAGGCCCATTCATAGATCCCATCAAAGCGTTGTTGTTGGCAAGCATGTTCATATCGAGCGAATTATTACCATACTGGGCTGCAACTTGCAGTCTTGCATCCCTCGCCACCTTACTCTGCAATGCCGAGTTCACTGTTGACATCGGCAGAGACGATGACGGGGCAGGACTCAAACCAACACTTCCAAGATGGAGGTCATTGGATGAAGTGAGCGGTGTTGCAGGAGTAGGAGTCCCACTCGTACTGACCGGCATTTGAGGAGGAGACGACAAAGAATTGTTCACTGCCGGACTTTTAACCGATGTTAAAGTAGTCAACGATGGACTATCAGGACTAGATACGCTAACTGTCGAAGAGATGGCACTGGTGTTGAGCGTAGAGCTCGCGCCACTTGACAGGGGAACATTCGATTGAAGAATTTGCTGCAAACTCGAGGTAGCACTTGAAACATCAGCTGTTGTTTCACCATTAGTTAGACCATCAGAATTAGGAATCATTGCGGGTCCACCAAGTTCATCGGGTAAACTGGCATCCAGGTCTTCCATAAACTTCCAATTGAACTCTTTAAAGGGAAGACGGTAATTTAAATAAGTTAAAGGAACGGAACATAGACCTGGAGAACTCACTACAACTGCAAACTTAAAACGCTCACAAACACAGGAAAAAAATCAGTTGACATTATATTTACCAGCATTGTCGGTTGGTGTGTCTGGGGCTCCTATTTTCGGTCGCTTGTTCGGTGGTCCGTCTACCAGTTGCTCGGCCATTACTACTACAATACAAAAACCCACTACACGAAAACGACTTGTTGATCATACATAGTCATCGCCTTTAAAACGGCGAAGCGCCTTCGTCCCCTGAAAATAAATTCAATCAGTAGATTACTAATCTGACTAAGGAAAAGAATCTCTCCGATGGAATGAAGTCACAACGAGCCGTACTACAACAAAATTAACGCAGAAGTAAAAACAAAATCATGGCCGCTTACCATTGTCGTTCTCACAGCATTATGACAACGAACCGAACAAAACAGTATAAGACGGCTTTAAGATCTTTTGTAAGTGTCCTTCGATGAACGAATTATCTCCTCTCCTCCAGATGAATCTGATTTTTCCTGTCGTAAAGCTTCAACTAGTAATGAAAACTTGAAGTAAAATAGCGTTCCGAAAAGTTCCCTGTGTCAATGCCGTGAAGCGCAACAAGCGATGGCTCAACAGCGCGGGGGGGCCCAGCCCCACCATCATGCATTGCGGTCGTTAATCGCCATTAATTTTAATTTATGACAATCATCTTGGAGCCTGGAACCGAAGAAAACAATAGATAACCTCGCTTCGGTGTCCTTCGCACACAGTGAAGCACGCAACCGGAAGGAGTTGCATCACTCTTCAATCCCACTCACTGGAAGTAAGAGAATTTTTTTTCTCGCTTGTGAGGGGAAAAATATTTGAAACTAGATGTCAGAAAAGAGGGCGTACTTCATAAAATTTGCTAAAAGTTGTTTACCCTATTTGACAAATTTATGAAAGCGTGAATTATTTTCTTGAAAAAAAGAAAGCGGCTTATACTTTCCAGAGTAATGTGACCAGACTTTCCTTGACGGGATGGTTACATGTCAATTTACTTACTTGCATGTCGGCTTTTGGGATTTCAAAACAATACGCGATTATCTTTCCTATAATGGCACGAATAAAAATTTTCACTAAAACGACCTTACAATTAAATCTGTGATCGATATTTATTGAGCACGCAATCACTTCGATAGAACACGAAGCGCTTCCGCTTGAACGAATTTTATCAGCGTGAACCCGAAGGCTGGTATTGAAGGTACCATCAGAATGAAAAAAGAAAAAGTGCATAGCGCCTGATCTTCCATGTATATATTGTAAAGGATGTAGTGTGTTCATCTTACTCGTTGAGCGATCTAAGTAGCTCTGACTGAAGGTCACGAAATCACGGTTCATTAATATTTAAAGAGTTCAACTGAGACACAATAGCGGGTATAAAGACGAGACTACAATACGTCCCTTACCGTTCGATCAACGAATTTCTTGAGAGATATGGGATTTGGACTATGTTAATGTAACTTCCGGCAAATTTATATCTTAATTCCTTCCAAATGTTCCTTAAAACCATATTTCCAAACTAACGGTTTTTCGTCTCTTTTCCAAAGTACAACTTTATGGATTCAAATACTGTTGTTGAATTACATTCTATTTACATGTTCCAAATATGACGACTGTCATGAGACAATTTTTCTCCGACTTTAGACATAAAAACACGAATTTGATCATCGGCTTCATCAGGAAAACATGAAAACCGGTTACACCATGATTGCGTTATGGGCCCGAAAGAACAGAAGTAAATTATCCTTACGGATAACTCATGGGATAGTAACAAGGCAGCTGACAACTCTCTGCAGAATCCTTTCTAGTTCATTAAAAGAATATGAACACTGATGAAGAATAATTCCCCCAAATGGATCAATGCAGTCTATGACAAGTAGGTATTGATTATTGACAATCGCGGTTCGGTAACACTGCATCAAGGCTTCCATGCCTATTTACCGAAAACTGTAAGCTTCAAGGAAACAGTAAAATCAACAGTGCAGGGAAGGTAAATAAAAAATAGAGGTGTTTACTAACTAGTGCAGCCAAACTAAGATCAAATTAAGTTTCTCATTCATATCTAAACAACGCCACACATGCATTTTCCCGCGCTTGGCATTAACATGAGTAATTTACTCTGCTATAACTCTCAGTCGAATCCTTGGCATGATTTGCGGATTAAGTATCGTTTTACCATATTTAATTAACGTGTCGTTGTTGATCGACTTGTGTGAAGCAGTGGAAGATGGTTGCTGCAATCGGGCAGACACGCTTTGGTGGTCCGTATAACAGAGGGGTTATGAGGGGGGAGAGGGAAAGTAGCATACGTAACTCCAGTGCTCAGGTACCCTCCCTTCGTAACCGCCCTGTAAGTTGCTTGACAGGAAGTTTACTCTGTTCCCATTCCAGAAAGAAGTGAAGTGTGACAACATGGATGAAATACCTAGTTTTGCGCACACCTTACTTGTTGCCCCAGGACTTCACGCCGATAAGAAATACAAAGATCTGATGACTGTACTTCGCCAAGAAACATGCGAAGCTGAAACCGTTAAACAGTTTGTATCACTTGTAACGCCTCCCTACAGGGCAGGAGTACTTACGGGAGTGCCCACGAAAGAAATAAAGTGGAGGACCAAAATATGAGGACGAGGTAGTTTTCAGATATTTATCTCCTGCAGGACGTTCGATGGATCTAGATTGCTCAAGTCATATTTTTAAAAAAAAGTTGTCCACTGGCAAGCCTTCACTCAGGTTCCCTTATTATAAGAATGGGTTTACTAAATTTTATCAAGTATCAAGGAACTTAGACAGACTGACCTCATAAAAGATTTCATATCACTGGCAAGCAAATATGCTGCAGTTTCTCATTACTGTTGTTAAGATCGTAATGCTCTCATTCCCTAACAAAATGTTCACGAACTCAGTCACACATTCCACTGAAAAACTATTTTTTTTATTTTTAATCTCCAATTTGAAGGAGTAGACGTATTGAACTGGACACGAGAAGGATCGTTCCCAATGCTTTTGTTTCTTTAATGGGGAAGGGAGGGGGAACCAACCACTGACCCAACAACATCTTTTGTCATTTAATTCTTTTTGACTTACTTACACATAAATTTTATCCTACAATAAAACATGTTTAGCCAAGGAGCAAACAGCTATTGCAAGAATATGTACAACATACACTTTAAAGTTTAGTTCTTGACCTAACTATAAGATCTTGTTGAATCAATATTTGTTAGAGCTATAAAAATAAATCAACAAAAATCTCATGGTTATTTTTGGTGAATATATTTGAATTATTTGAGTAATTAGAATTAATTAAATTAAGTATTTAATTGTTTGTAGATCAAAAAAATTAATTCATAATTTTCATATTTACATCCTATATAAAAAATGATGGTCATGGAAGTTGAGATTTACAATGCCACTAATGTTAGCAGGGTTGCTTTATCAAAATTAATCAATCACATTACGGGAAAAGAACAATGAACTCGGTTGTTCCAACCAGTGTGACCAGAGCAAGCACAGACAACACATTTAAATGGGATTTACTGTTCACTTTCTATGACTTCTGGTCAGATTTCCACAAGTAACCCTAATGCTAAAGGTGCGCTGTAAAATATTTACAATATTCATCTATTTATGGCATAAGAGACATAAAAGCTTTAAGGTTTTAATAGTTAAACCCGAATGAATGTTTACAGTTTTAGAAATCAACCCTTGGGCATCAAGTATTGTCTTGTTTCACACACTCAGCAAGTAGTAAGTGAATGATGGTCTTGATCTTTTTTCATAACATTATTCTTTCAGACTAGATGAACATTTATCTATCAAGTAAAATTAGTTGGAAGTGCTTGCATTGTTGAAAGGTGTTTAAAACATTAAAGCTTTGTTAGAGTGTGCTTCAGTACTTTCAATGTTAAGCCAACAAAAATAGCAGTCATGCCATCAAAAAACTCTTGCATCATGAGTATTGAACAGAATAATTTAAATCATGTCACAGGTAGTTTCATTATACATGCAAACCAAAAGTTATAAAATCTTCCTACACTGACCTTACGGTTAAAATAGTGTCATTGCAGTTAATTTTAATAAGCCAGTCTTTAATTGACAAGCAGGCAGTGAAGTATTAATCATCAATTTGTAATTTAAAACAAAACTGAGAGGCACATAGTAAGCATCAAAACATGAAAAAGTTGTTGGAAAACCATCCTCATAATTCATAAATTAACTAATTTGACTTTCATCATGAAATCCAAAATGACCCTGCATTTAACTTTAATCAAAGTAAATAATTATGCTGTGGCTGCTAGAACTCAACAATTTACTGTTTATGTAGTTTTTTCAGCTGGATACCTTAGTCACTGCAAATATTTTGCATTCAGTTAATACTGAAGTTCAATCCAGTTAAAATTAACTTTTTTTAAGTGAAAGATTTTCATTGCTTGAATGTTAAATGGCAGCAACACGTAAAAAATGATCATCAAATAACAGCATTTCAATATTTATTTATTTAACAATACATAAAATGGTTCTGTAAAGTAACACTGTCTGAGCATTAAATCCTTTTTGTAAGGTTAACATTTGGCTTTTCTCCCAAACAATATACCAGTAACTAAATTTGAAATAAACTAATAAGAAATTTGTCCATCACCACTTAAAGAAAGCTCAAGATGAGAAATACATTCATATTACATAATTCAGCAAAACATCTTATAAGTGAGAAAGCAGATACCTATTCCAGTTATCATAGATATTGATTGGAAAACCAGACTTTTCAGGATCCAAATTTTAACTCCTCCATGAAGATGAATGAACTTCATGACAGCATAACAAAATATTGTGTTAAAAAAGCTTGCCTTTTTGTTTAAATAAGTGACTCCCACAGTTAACAGATTAGACCACACAAAATAGGTCAGCCATACAGATTGAAGCTTAAATAAGTGAAGCTGATGATATGCTTCTCACTCATGCCCATAGTGGAAGAATAGCTACCTTGAATGATGTTTTCTCATATCAAATGGTGAGTCACACAACTAGAATCAGAAGACGTGCTTATTAAACAAATAAAGAAAGCAATTTATTTTCCCTTTTCTAAAAGCACATAATCAGATCATCCACAGTAATTGTGTCTGTCAAAAGATGCTGAAATTTGGAAAACCAGCCATCAAAAACCTACCTGAAAACAGAAATGGGTCACTGAAAAAAAATGTAAAGCTTGATCTGCTTTACAATGTATGCTAATAGTAATTACTATCTATGGCTGGTTCTTACCCAAAGCAATTTGGGAACATTTGGACTTGGTCAAACAACTGCATTCAGAAACGAAACCCAGGCTGGAAATATTAATTCAAGTTGGACATACATCTGTTAGAAATCTGTTTGGGAATCTTTGCCTCTTTGTTATGAGTCAATAATAAATCAGTGGGTATGAAGTTCTGTATCCATAGAAACATATTTCTTATATGATATTATTTAATTACTTTTACATTTGCTATACTTGGCATCAAATTTATCTAAAAATTTTCTCTTTTAAGTATTTTTAAAATGTTTCCAATAGAACTCTTACTATTTTCCAATCTAATTTTAAATATACACTTACTAAATATAACATGAAGAGCACATACTTTAAAATTTTAATTCTTTACAAATGTCAACTTAATTTGTCATTACCCTATATTTTTAATATATAATAGTATATGTATATTTATATGTAATAACATACATGACTACAAGATGCCTGCCACTTCACTCTCAATCAATGACAGTTTCCTGTAAAAAAAAAAAAAAACAACAACAAAAAACAAATAGAAAATCTTAGACAAAGCACAAAAAAAATAACAACTACTATCACTTCTTCCAGTAAAAAATTTGAGGAAGTTAACCATTCCACAGGACACAGTCCCTGAGCAAGAACAGTAAACAGCTTTCTAAACTCATAACTACGGCAAATAAAAAAACGTGTGTGTTATTGTCATCACCTAATTCAGATTGTACCACCAGAAAATTTGCAGATGAATGTATATTATACAGGAAAAGACAAAGGTAAACTAACCCTGATTTCTTCACAAATACAAGCACCAGCTTCTGTAATTGCCTCCTAAAACATAAAAGTGAATGAGTTGAATCAAATATATCCATCACATTGTTAGCCAAAAGAGTAACTTGCCACTGGATTTGTAAATATATCAGCTGCCTTTTTATTGTTGCCAGAGGAAAGAGTTGTTTTTTGAAGAAAACAAGAAAAACTACAAAAAATTTCTGAATGAAAAAGTCAAAAGAGAGTGAGAAAGTCCGTAACCTGTCCTGAGAACACTAAAGCAAGTGTGCCCAAACATATCTACCTCTTCTTCTTCACCAGGTCTCCAGAAAGTTGGGAAAACATTTCTTATAATTCTTCCCCTGAAAAATTTACTTTTGAATCATAAATATCCTTTTTTTACATTTTAGTTACTTTTTGTGACCTTTCTTCTTAAAATGCAAAGATTTTTGAAGAAGAAATTTATATTATGTAAGCCATGGAAGGATGGAGACATCTAATGTAGATTAAAGGCAGGGGGTTTAAGTAACATGGCTCTAATTTGGATCAGAAAAAGTTAAAATTAAGAAATTGTGTTAAGTTAGACATCAGATAAACTTGCCATGAAGGATGTTCTTTAAGGCCCATAGAACAAAACAGTATCATAAATTTGAAAAATTTTAAAAAAACAAAGGAATGTCACATACTGTTCTTCTTCCAGTGAGGAGGTAGGTGGTTATATGGCCTTTGCCCTTGACTGGGATAGTTCCTCTACGCTCAAATGTGAAGAATTCATCAAGAAGTTTCTTAGATGCCTCGCTGACCTGTATTCTCCCTTTCACACCAGTGGAGTCCATTCTGCTTGCAATATTCACTGTGTCTCCCCATATGTCATAGAGAAGTTTTGTTGTACCAATGACCCCTGCTGTGACTGGCCCAGCATTAAATCCTATCCGTAAATGAAACTCAAATCCCAGCATGTGTTCATTGAATTTGTCAACAACCTTGATCATTCCCAAAGCAAATTCAACAAGTTGCTTCAGGTGGTCATATGGGTGGGCATCTTTTTTGGCACAACCTTCTGGGTAGAGGCCAGCCCCAGCCATAAAGGTTGAGCCATTGACTGTCTTGATTTTCTCCACTTGGCTAAACTGGCTTTTGTCTGTCAGAAGGTCATCAAAGTCACCAACAAGTTCATTCAAAACTCTGATACATTCCTTGCCACCTTCAAAGTTCTCTTCATAGAAGTCAGAAAAGTTTACTATTGAAGCAAAAATTACTCCAACATTTTCATAGTTCCGTGAGTAATGACTAGACAGTTTTAGTGCATCTGCTACATGTTTAGGGAAAATGCTCTCCAGTAGCCAGGCAGCCTGCTCTTTGTGCATTTGCGCTTTTCGTTTGTCTTTAGCAGCTTCCTCATCTCCATTGAAATTACGTCGTACGCTCATTTCCAACTGACGATTTAACACACACACAAAAATCAGAAGTAAGCCAATGCAAACCATGATTTCTAAGCCTAAACGCTCATTGTATTCTGCTCCAGGCCGAAATGCACAAAATTCGTCATAAGTAAGCAAAATAATGTATGTAATAGAAAACACAGCAGCAAGTACAGTCTTCATCCAAGATGTAAGTTGAGTGAAATTGCAGAAATGTAAAAGTGCCACAGCAAATATTAAGGAGTAGAATTCTCTTGCTTTTGAATCAGTACGGTCCTTACAGTTCATGAAGTTTGCAAAGAGTGTTCCCATGGGAAGACACATTAAAAGAGCTCCTATAAGATGGCTTGTGAACCAGCCGCAAATGTAACCAACAATTTGGTGTATACATACAGAATATAAATGTGGAAATGCTCTGGCAACTGTCAAGCAGAACAATGTTATTTCAATAACAATTGAAATTGGCGACAAGACCTGCACTGCTAATGGAACAGGTTGGTAGAGTGTGAAGCCTAAAATCATTATGACTAGATAAATAATGTTGGAAAGCAACACATCTAAAAAGAAGTTCACTCTGGGAGATGCAAACGTTGTCACCGAAGGGTTCAACAACGTACAGTCCTGACCTTCATTCTGATATCGTCCCTCAGTTTCTCTGTCATGAAACTGTAGGGTGCAAGGGTTCATTGACCTGTGAAAGTACTCATCGCTAGTACTCTCTTGACTCATCAAGTTGACAAGTTGCTGATCATTGTTTGTTCTCAGAGTATCCCTCATTAAAGCTTCATTCAGGGATAAGCCCAAAACTTGAGGAGAGCATTGACCCTCTGGCACTCTTCCATTAGAATCTTCATCATCATCATCAGATCGGATTGAAGTTCCACTGCAATAGTCCATTTCAATGACACCAGGCTTGACTTTCAGGTTGCCTTTAAGGATTTTAGGACCATTGTCCGAACTTGACTCACCTTGACTGGAAATGTTTGAATCAGAGTTAAACATCACATCTGAGGAGGTAATCTGTTCTGAGATCTTGACATGCTTCTTGTTTTCTTGTGGACTGCTGTAATGAGAAGCATTCTCATTCATGCTGACATTGATGGCGTTTAGGTTTGCTGGTTTCTTTTTGCGTCCACTTGGGTGAAGCAGATTCATTGGTTTCTTCATACCGTTCTTACGACCAACAATGAAGTAAGTCTTAATACCTTCCAAGCCATGATAACGTGAACTGCCATTACCATCTTCCACAATATAGTGACCAGCAAGAAACTTAAGTGTTGTTGCAGTGATATGTACACGTCCAGGGAGACCAGCCGTTTCCATGCGGTTTGCTAAGTTTACATCATTGGACCAAACATCAAATTTAAAGCGTAGCGAGCCAACAATACCACATAGAACAGTCCCTGTATGAACGCCCACCCTCATGTCAACTTCATTCTTGGTGTCCGCATCAAATTCTTTGATTTGTTCCAACATGTCCAGTCCCATCTCCACACAATTAAATGCATGATGGGCTGTCGCTTCAGGGCATCCTGCCACACAATAATAACAATCACCAAGGGTGCTGATTTTCTCGCAGTTATTGATATCTGTGAGGCGATCAAAGCGTCCAAAGAGATCGTTCAAGAGCCTAACTAATTGCTCAGCAGACTTATTGGAAGACATGTTGGTGAAGCCCACGATATCGGCGAAAAGAATGCTGACATTCTCCATGCGATGCATCTGAAACGGTCGGAAGACCATCTGGCCTTTGTTTCGTCGTCTTTTCTTGCCGTTTGTACTGTCCTTCGGATCTTCCTCCATTTCTTCGACCACAAGCAGCTCTTTGGCCACTAAATCCGGCATTACCGATCGGATCATCTGTTCTTTCACCTGCTTTTCAATTTCCAAGTCGCGACGAGCAACAACACATTGACCAACCTTCCAGAAAGTGCTTCTTTCTCGTACTTGGGCCATGAAAAAGATTTGAATTCCAAACAGATGAATACACATGTGCAAAATTAAACGACAGATGATTTCCTTGGGCTGGCTGTCTCTTTCCTTTTCGTCGGTGACCACGTCAGAGAGAACTTCGTGAGCGACAGAAAAAGCCACCGTCATTACAATGCAGATGTACAAATGAAGCGAATGGATCATGGTATAAATCAGCATGATAACACATGTACACATACAAAATCGAGCCGGGTTCGAAAGAGCTGTTCCCCTCTCTCGCAAAGCGAACAGGCAAAGTTCCATGGCGATCAGTAAAACAGACGCGAGCAACGAAACAAACGATGCACATTTCTTGTACAATCTGCTGAATTTAGTAAACAGTATTAAGGAGATCACTAACCCCAAAAAAAACCCAGCTCCTACTAAGATCTGATAGCCTTCACTCTTGAGCAGAACCGCAAAAAATATCCCCCAGGTGACACAAACGAGGCATACAAATACGAGAGCGTGGACGAGACGCCTTTGGTTGTGGGAAGTGAAACGCTGAAACTCCTCTTCCAAAATTTCCGAATCAAATGAGGGCTTCCACCATTGAGAAGAAGCTCGCTCAAAAAACAAGGGAATACAACCTTTTTTCGAGCGCGTATCGACCTGTGAAAAAGACCTCTCTTTTTTAACCGAAGCGTATGACGGTTTTAATTCGACACTCATGGACTCTGGATCTGTGCTGATAGAGTATCCAGACCTTTCCTCACCAGCCATTTCACTATCCAAAGAAAGACAGCTTGCTTTTCAAGGCTTCCCCGGTGTTGATCACCTAACTAAATCATCTCTTTAGCGTCTTCTAAGTCATTTTAAGAGCAATCGGCATATCAGGACCTCAACCACTACCCTTTCCGCCAAATGCTCTTCTTCCTCGACATCAAAAGGGAATTCAGGGATTTCCTGAGCGAAAGCACTTAACTTTCAGCGGCTCTAAACTTTAGCACATGAAGAAAATATACACGCTCAATGCGAGCTCTTTTTTTCCGAGGCGTATATCACGTGATCTATAGCTACACGTGACATCATTTGGTGTCGCCTAAGTGGCTGTGAGGCTTCCTGTGTTTTAGGTTTGGTGTGAAAGGACAGCCAGTTGAACATCTAACCTATTTTTAGCAAATTCTTCGCATTGTGGTCATGCATGCTCAAACCACTTGTACTTTCGCTGAAAACAAATAGGTCACTAATGGCTGGTTCAAATTTCAATGATTTTGTAGAATTTAACACCAAGGGAAGGTCAGATGGTTTAAGAAAAATATATGCGTAACGAGGGGAGTGAATTGTGTAAATATACAAGCATAAATATGGAGGGTTTTGGAGAAGCAAACGGAAATATGCTAATCGATCATGTCAGGTATCGCTGAGATCTTAACTCCCCTCCCCCCCTTTCCCCCCTCGGAATAGGGGCTATAACTGTCCGACTGGTAAAACGTAGAACAGGGACAGGAATTAAAAGAAGCAAGGGTAATGAGGGGGAATTCTAGTAAATAGTTAGGATAATGCAGCTAATTTGCACTAAATGTGATTGCAAACAAAAAGGATTTCATGGATTAGTAATTCTATTATATCATATTCTTTGGGTAAGAAACTGTTAAGATCCTTTTAAGTACTAATGGGAGATTTTAAGGGAACAGGCGTTGTTTTTAATAGTGTTTGTCTGTGTTTTTTAAAGATTCTTGAGGGAGCGAGGAAAATATTTTAAATGCTGGGGAAAATATTATGCGCTAAAGATAGACACGAAGAACAAACCGAAAGATTTGTCCTCGAGTTAGGCTGGATCTTCAATAAGTGACGACAAAACGACTCCATGCCTAAATAAAGCAACAACAAGAAAAAGCACGAAGAGGTTCCTATGAAATCTTTATGAAATACTGAGCAGAAATGGCTTAAACTGGCCATACGTTAGTAGCGGATACAGGATTTAGTAAGCTGACTAAGTAAATACATCAAATGGTATGTGTAGCGGGCCATAGGTGCTTACCTTTCTCCCTGCGTACAAAGTTGACATAAGTCTTTACACTTAACAGCTGTGTGCTGCCATAAACTTGACAAATATGAATGTTACTCAGATGGAAATAAAATTGCATTTTGTGCTGACGGAAATTCTAACAGCTAAAAAGACAAACATTCCTAATATTTAAAAGTAAACAACGACGTAGCAACAAGAAGCGAAGAAGTTTTACAAAAATTAATACATTAACATATGTGATGAGTATTTTGATCGGCTGCGAGGGCTTAGGAACGAATGACAGCTTTGAAAGATCTCAGCTATAACGTGATCTTAGCTATGTAACTTTTTTCGAATATGAATAAATCTGGAAAGGTCGTTAGGAGGGCATAAAACGGAAGAGAAGTTTCACTACCACTAAGATAAGAGGTCCTTCATTAGTCAGCATTGAATTAACGTTTTTCTCCTTTTATAAAAAATAAAATGTTAGACCATGTTAATCAGCTTCTTTTGTGGACAATTAAATAAAAGTGAAATAACCTACTCTTTTTAACGGACCCCTGTGGATTGATCCGTGCGCCTAAACACCCCCATTCCACAAAGTTATGACCAAAGCAGGAATATTTTTGGGTTTTGGAACTGAGCCCAGTCCCATTTAGTAGTTCCTCCTTCAGCTTCATCCTGTTTGTTGTGGTTTAATGATCTTGACATTGGCGGTGAAATAGGTAAGTGTTATGAAACGATGCTATTTTTTGCAGAGATAAGTGATTTAAAAATACTATGCAGGAAAGAAGGAAACTTCGGACAAGCTGGCTCAGTTTCAAATTGAAGTCGCCAGAAATAGACAAGTACCTGTAAAAATAACTTTAATGACACATAAATATTATCAAGAACTATATCATTCTTTTTAAGGATTAAGTCTTTTCATCACTAACATTTCTGTGGTAAGGTCTTTCTCTTCTTCAGGCGCATAACAAGTTTATAGCGTCTACGTTTTAATTTCTGTATCAGAGGTTGTATGACGCAGCACTCATGCCGGGGTTGATCATCTTCAGTTTGTCGAAATCATGGCCGAAAAATTGATTATGCAGGTATCCCTTCTTCTTCCGAGCAGTGTACGAGTAAATTGAACTGACTCTAAGGTATGGAGAGCCCGGGTGGAGGAGCTGAACAATAAGACAGAAAAAAATGTGGTCTTGTAGCTTAATGCTATGGAAACTAAAGCAATTATTTCTGTCTGTTCTTAGGCCCTCATCTTCACACAATCTTAATTTGCATTTTGATCCTTTTTACTCATACCAGAGCCAATAACTCATTTGACGTGCCCCTTAAACCAGCTGTAATCGTGTTTTACCACACTCAAGTGTTACAGCCAAAACTGGCTCACGTGTAAGATATGAGCATTCTTCAAATTCTTTCACAATCTCATGCTCAGGTCGTTTTCTTAACCACCCCCGAAAGTACTTCCTAGTTGAATGAGGATAGAGGGTTTTGGTCCTGGGAACGAAGCAGTCCCCTGAATTCCAAACCAAGCTTCACCAAAAAAAATCATGTAGATCTTGTAAATTCATCTGGATGAACTTATCTGCCTTCCCTCTCCCCACCTCCTGCCCTCTTATTTCTAGGTGATCCCAGACAATAGATTGAAAGCTGCATTACCTGCCAGTTGTAGGATAAAATAAAAAGATAAAGATAGGAAGAAAATGCTGCACAGAACTTGAGCCAAAAATATTCCTGTTTTGGCCCTCACATTCAGTCATTAGGTAACAGTACATATTACTTTCCACCTCAGTTTGCTAAGCCGGAATATGTTGTCTGTCAACCTTCACACTAACCGCTGCCTCCTCTCCTCTCCCCCCTACTCTCCACTCAGATCCTGTCATCTTTTTCAAAGTATAAAATCAAAAAACATTTCCATTATGTGAAAAATATACCTGATTTTGTCTTTCAATTTTTTTACAATATTTTTTCCGAAGAAATTCGCTTGTTTTTCGAAGTGGGACTTCGAAAATTTGAACCGGAAATCAGTTTTAGCGGAAATGACGCAAAATAAATATTAATTGAAGCCCAGATCTCCTCTTTTGAACACCTGCGATGACCGCCTGATCTTTTCTCCACTTGAATTTTGCGTAGAAACACAAGTTACATATCGAAATGTTAGTAAAAATGTCGGCTCTATAAGAATTTTTTTACTCTCGGTTTTTCTTCTCCTTTCATTATTAGTGTTACTAACATTATTATCTTTCTCTTAGGTCGAAAGTAACCTTCAAAATTACTTTAACTTCTGATCCGAAATTACCATTCAAAGTGTACGTGAAAACTTATTTTCATGCCAGTATTAGTAACTTTTTGTTAAATGGGGTTTAAACCTTAAATATTGCTCAGTAATTGACGTTAAAATTCCATTTACAGACTTAGTGTTCCAGAGGAAACGCCATTTACAGCAGTCTTAAAATTCGCCGCCGAAGAAGTAAGTTATCTGACCGATTTGCGATGAATCACTAAATCATAACACAATATGCAACATTTAACTTCAGTTGAAACAAGCTGTTTGTATAAAGATCTGATCTACTATGTTAACAAATATTGATCTTTATTGTTCTCGTTCCGTATTTTGTTTGAAGTTCAAGGTTCCTCCTGCTACCAGTGCAATTATTACAAACGGTGAGTTATTTTGATTTCCTCTGTAAGAAAAGGAAAGTCTTCCCTTAGTGCTATACTGTTTCTAGTGAATATGGTTGAATGCTGTTAATCAGGATCTTAAACCCCTAAAGTACACTGCCAATTTCTTTGTGATCTTAGTCGGAACTGATACTGCAGCAAGCAAAAATGATGTGATCATGGCAAGACAGCTATGGCGATAAGAACTGTGGGTGGGTTGTGATTCCAGTATCGCAATACAACTGAACCTGTCTTAAGCAAACATCCAAAAGTCCCTTGCCAGCGTTCATTTAGTGCCTCGTCGATACAGCTTTTAGCTAATTGCACAATAATAACTAGTAGTTCGCTCAAGCAACACAGAAGTCATCTCAGTCAGCTTGGATCGGATAATGTTCCTGTCTTAGACCAATTAGCTTCTCAAAAAATGTATTCTACATAATTAGCTTTCTCTCAATGATGTAATGGATGGTTTAGGGAAAATGTGCAAGGCATCTAATAACTCATCAAACCTTTTCCTTTTCTAGATGGCATTGGCATAAATCCATCACAAAGTGCAGGTGAATACCCTATCATGTATATCTTGTAAATTCACCTGAATGTTTCCTCATCCAAACATATCTGCCTTCTCTCCCCACCCTCTTATTTCTAGGTGATCCCAGACAATAGATTGAAAGCTGCATTACCTGTCAGCTGTAGGATAAAATAAAAAGATAAAGATAGGGGGAAAATGATGCACAAAACTTGAGCCAAAAATTGCCCTGTTTGGCCCTCACATTCAGTCATTAGGTAACAGTACATATCACTTTCCACCTCAGTTTGCTAAGTGAATATGTTGTCTGTTAACCTTCACACTAACCGCTGCCTCCTCTCCTCTCCCCCCTACCCTCCACTCAGTAGTTGGTCTAAAATGAACCTGTGATCATGTTGAGGCAAGAAAAATGCAAAGTTGTGTTGAAGCATACTGTAATCCAAGTAGTTGTTGGGTGGGAGGTTGTTGACCATTCTAAGAGTTGGCTTCTTTTCATAGTAAATTCACAAAAGGAATTTTTCTTGAGACATGTTTTAGATTTAGACCTACACCTAGTTACATTGCTTATTTACTTACTGTGTACTGTGGTAATACTGAAAATAGCTTAGTGAAGGACAATTTGCACAATTATAACATCCTTCCAACCTGTTGTTGTTTCATAGGAAATGTGTTTTTAAAACATGGATCAGACCTGAGAATTATTCCAAGAGACAGAGTGGGAAGCAGGCTCATAACATAGGAGATGACACTGTATTTAGACTTAATAATAACCTGAATAAAATACATTTTACCCACATTTAAAGACTCTCTCAGTATTTATTGAAATACAGAGGAATACAACAATGCTTGATCATATAATTCTTGTAAGTAAATGTACTTGATAAACACCAAAAAAATTTTTAAATTTCTCTCTAGTTAATATTCTCTTTGACTAATGTGCTTGGGTTCAATAGTTTCATTTTTTGTATTCAGTTTTTTTTAAAATGTGTAGTATAGTCGTGCTTTTCTTATTTCAAGAAGTTGTGACCTGACCAATGCCCAGGACCTAACATTATGCATGAAAAGTCTCTGGCAATCGTCATTTGCAGCACAGTGATACTTTAGAGACAAAAAAAAAAAAATTCCTTCTGAGGCATTGAAGAAACCAGGAGAAATGTGTGTGATGTGCAGATGGTTAGGAGTGCAAAGACCAAAGGAACTAAAGGAGAGGGTCATACTATGCTAAGAATCAGGATCACTTACAATAAGGTTAACAAGTAAATAGAAATAAATAAACAAGAATTCATAAACAATATTGTCTTTATTATTTAAACATTAGTTAGCCCTTGTACGCACATGGAACAGTAAAAAACCTCACTAAGAAAACATTTATATTTCAACTGTGGATGAAAAAGTCTCGCAAAAAATTATTTCCCACAAATATCTCCACAAAATGCAATTATACTGTAATCATACATGAGAGAATTTCAATTTTAAATTTGTATGGTTAAAATTTTTTTTATGTACAATTGACTTGAAGTATTGAGTGAAATTCAAAGATATTGCAGTGTGTGTTATTATGATTAATAACAGTCAAACAACTGAGGCAGACATGAATTATTGATGAGAGTCAGTCATCCTGGAATGAAAACAGAGAGAATGATGTAAGATAAAGGTTGAAACAGTATATCTTGATTTTTGTAAGAACTTGAGGTGACTATATTTCTCTCCTACCCATTCATCATCATCCACTCCTTCTTGAAGATCCTGAGGCAAAGGATCATCATCATAATTTCTTAATTTGTCAACCATAGAGTTCAAAAGCTGAAAATAAATATATAAAACCAATTTAATTTTCAATCTATTAAAAAATAACTGTAAAGAACTGAAGAAATAAGAGACACTTTCATTTATTTTAGCAATCTTTCTTTTTTTAGTGAACAGTTTGTTTTACTTACTTCTTCTTTCTGCTGTTCGATGGACTTCACCTCCTCAAGTTCATGTCTACTGTCGTACTTCCTGGCAATAGGGGCTGGTTTGGGTGCTTCACTCACTGCCACAGATAAGGAGAGAGAACAACAACCTTGTATTAAAATAGTAATGTTCAGCCAATAACTAATGAATTAAGGTTATGAAGAGCAATGGTCTGTAAAGAGAAGAAAAAAAATCCTTGCCAACAAGCACAGGCAAAACAAAAGAAAAAAAATTGATGACTAGGTTCCCTATTTTCTAGAAACTAAATTAATCACTTTTTTGACATGAAAAAGAGGTTACCCTTAAGTGTAATTTGTTTGATATGGAATGCACTTCTCTATGATTTCCCTCTGGATGACTTACTTAGTTGGACATTACTGCCAACAGCACTACAATGCTACATGTTGGAGGAAGGCAAATTTTGCTTAGGGTTGGTTCTCCATTAGTAAATTTGATCTCAAATGAATGAAGTAAATCATATTCTGACCTGTAGTAAACAATAATAATGCATGGTAACTACACTTATTGATTCTTTACACACATGCTTTCATGCCATCTGGTCTGAGTGACATTGTTCTCTGTGTTTTATCTTCACCAGTGAACCACTTATCACTAGTCACTGAAGGCTCCCACCATACTCTGGTGTCTGGGAAAAGGTCATCTTGAAAGTATTCCATCTGATAATGAAAAGGAAAATTAAATCACTACTAACACCTGCTCCTCTAAATTAACTGCTAGAGATGTTACTGTTCTAATCACTAAAATTTCTCTCCACTTAGAACAAACATTACATATTGTTAATATAGCAAGAGAATGCACTAGCCTTCACTCGAGGAACCTGGAATGTAATTAAGTCAATTGACGTCTTGTTCAACTTAACAGCTCTGGCAAACTCCACTTGTTTTATGTCACAAACAGTCTTAGGTAGAAAGGCCACTGCCTGTTGGAAACATGAATATTACTTAATTCAGATTCTATTGATTAAAATCATGAAAGTTATCAAACAATAACTGAAGACTATTGCTTAAAATAGGTATAATTTCATAAATTGACATAGTGTCAAAGTATCTGTGCTTACTGATAACTTGTTAACCTCTTACACCCCAACATCAGTATGCATATTCTCCAAACTGTTCTCTGTATATTTCCTTAGGTGTTGAAAAGTAGAATTTGTATAACAATCAGGAGCCTCTTTAGTTAGTGATCCTTTCCTTTATTTTTGTGACCTTAATGTTTGATTCAAGTTTGATTCAAGAGTGATATTTTAAGGAGTAAATTATCAGATGCTAGTTACTCCTTGGGAGCAGAGGGTTAACGGTTTTCAAGAGTTTAAATGGTACTAAAAAACTTTTTTAACCAATCAAAAAACCAATCTAAATGCAAAAGTAAAAATATTATTTTAAGAATAAATATTATTTAATGATTATGTGTAATGATTTAATAATTTAAATTATTATTTAATGAGTATGTGGTGTCTACATGTGTTACTTATTCACTGTTACAGTATATACAGAAATTCATCACCTGGTAAGGGTTCTTTGTCCCGTAGTGTGACAATTCATTCAAGTGAGGTGGCTCTTCACTGACTTCATAAGCAAATATTGTAGTTTCACCCTGAAAAGTTACTTCACAAGGTAAGGCATTTGTTGCTAGTTCAGCCCATTTATCTTGTTGGAGATGAAATATACCAAAATTTATTTTCCAACACAGTTCCATACCATAAACTCAAATAGTCTGCTTAACAGGATATGGCTCCATCTGTTGGCTGACATGCACAAACCTATTTATCTGACTAATATGTACAAATTTCCTTGCACCGCATCTCAACTTATTCACAACAACCTTCCTCATGGAGTTTCATAATTATAGAAATGAAAGTGCCAATACAGATTGTTTATTGGAAGTGCATGGTCCTTGTCACTGCTGACATTTTTAACACAGCATATTTATATTATATTATATACATATACCTTAGCAGATAGAAACATGACAGAGGAGTCTTCATCATAGAAAGGTATCAGGGTAGCGGGTGCTGCATCCACCTCCACTGATGATAAAACTTTAGACAGATCACAACTGTCATAAACACTAATGATTCTTATGCTTGATCTAATGCAGAGAAAAAGAAGAAAATTCATATTACCCCTGAACAGCTAAACCTGAAAAAGTTAAAAGCTGCAAATTGAAATATATATACACAGGTGTGATATTAATTTTTTTCTTCTGATATCCACTTGGCTCCTAAATTCTTCAAAGTGGTAGCCAATTCAAAAAAAGTTGGTTGCCATTTTCAAAGACAAACAAAACCTTTTTTTCTGCTGTCATTGTTCTAGAAATTAAGTGAGGGAAAAGAACTTTAATGTGCTACAAAGTGGACACTAGGATGGATGATATGCAACATTCAAGCTAACCTAAATCCAAGATGGTATCTAGTTATTGATCAAGATACATGTATTGCGATTTGAAAACAAACTTAAAGAGGAAGTTCGCTGCGGATTTATCTTTGCAAATCTTTTTAATTCACTACATCTCTAGGTAAGGTTATGATTAAACATTCTAGTCGCCAATTTGGCAACTAATTTTCAGGATTTGGTCGCCAAAGTGATAAAATTTAGTCGCATTGGCACCTGTATTAGGTGCAATTTCATGCCCTGATATATGTAACAAACAAAAAAAACCTCCAAACAAATTTAAGTACAAGAAAAGAATATTAGGCAAAAATGCCAAGTAAATAAGTCAAAATAGCCACACTTTTTTTCTTTAAAAGGTGAAAATATCCATCCAAGTGGTCTTTACTGGACATTTAATTGAGAAAGGCAAGTAATAGCATAATGTAAAAAATGAAAATCATGTTTATTCAGTGTCTTTAATGAGTTACTCTTTGACATACAATTCTGGTGGACAGCAAATAGCTTTTTGTCTTTAAGGTGAGGTATATATGTCAACTTACTTGCCAAATCCTGTGGTCACTAACCAGTCCCCACTTGGACCTCCCCAGAAGACACGAGCTCCACGGCTCCCTTCAGGTCCTGTTCCTGTCTGAAAAAAGAAATTAACTCTTTGATCAAATATAGGCTGCACTATAAATAACAATATCTACAAAAAAATCAACAGTGCTGGACTCAGACTACATGAAGGTACACCAGCTGAACAACTCCCCTAGGGTGTGACCAAGAACATTGTTGATGTGCTTACGGAGGTGAGGGAAAACAATTGAACACCACTGCCATTGATTATCTCTGCTTTCTGTAGCATGAGGCCACTGGGGGAGATGCTTCTCTACATGGAAGCAATACTAATCCAGCAAAGGTAGCCCCAACATTTCCTCAGGTTTCCATGACAGTTTGCAGGTATCCAATTACACTCCTGAGTGGAAAGGGGCATGGTCACAGTAAACTTTCTTACTCAAGGAGACAACACCACTGCTCAGTCCAGCATCAAACCTGTCTGCAACATACTATCCACTGAGCCAGCACTCCTCTCACAGAGCTCATGCTCAATTTTAAATTACAAAATACACTAGTTGAGGCTCTCTCTGGTGGAAGATTGTCCAGACAAATCTCCTTGCACCCAGATAATATTTTAAATGAATAATACCTGTAGAGACGAAACTTGAGATCTTGGGTCAAATATTCTGATCTTGTTATCTCTTGACACAGTGGCTAGTCTTGTTCCATCTGGTTTCCAACTCAAGCTAAAAACCTAAAAAGACTTTTGATAATCAGCTTGTTTGACTGTTCAAGTTTTTCATTTCCTTTTTTAATCATCAGCTCACTTGGTATGCTTACATTTATTTTTATCATAAAAAGCTAGCAACCATAGGATCAAAAGTCTTTAAGTGCTATCAAGATGATAAAATTTTTGTTCAGTGTAGGTGATTAAAAAATGTTTGTTAAAACTTACAAAGGTATTCACAACAACTTTTTCTCTTATGAAATATTGATACACATTTAGTTCACAGGATGCTTGGCTCTGCAACCTTTAAAGATTTTCATAAACACAAGAATTTGCATTTCATCCCAGAAAAGGAAAATGGAAAATAGCTGTTTCTTTGGCAGCAGATGTACCAGTAGGTGTTTAGGATCCTTACCGAATCAGTAAGTCCGTTAAGTGTTATTAGATCTTTAGCTTTGTCAACATCCCAGATCTTGATGGTTAAATCCATAGCTGCTGATGCCAGAACACCTTTGGCTGTGGGGTGATACTTAACTATGTTTGGTTTGTCATTATGACCTGTAATATTAAAAACAAAAGAAGAAACAAACTAAATTGATGAATTTGTTTAAACGTTTATAACAAAAATAGTTGGTTAACCAGTCAAGTTTTGGAAGGTATCAGATCAAATTTGATTGAGTGGTTTGTTAGCCAGCTGGTTGGCTTAAAAATAAACAGATTCATAGATGTTTAAAAAGATTTTTGCAAAATAACCTTTCAAAACCACAAATGGATTGTTAATAGTTTCTGTCAAGCCATCATTGGGTACTTCCCACACAGTAACAAAACCACTTTCACAGGCTGAAAGATAAACAAATACAGAACATCATTAGTTATGCATCCAAGTATGCAGAAAAAGTATTTGACAATCACATGATATACAACGAAGTGCATCAATTCCAACTGTCAAGTTGTTTCACATCAGTTTATTAAATGATTACATTTGACTTCATCAACATTATACCCAGCAGAAAAAGTGGCTTAATGACAAGCCCATTGACCTCCACCTTAAGAGGTATGAGTTCAAGACCTACCCAGGTCATCATCTTGTGTCTTAAGGCAAAACAGTCCACCCAACAGTATAACAGTGGTAGCCAACTGTCAGGTAAGCCTCACGAGATTCAGGGGGAGTACCAATACTTTCAGTTGCTTCATCCTTAATACCAGCATAAGCTTAGAGAGAGCATGGCCGACCTGGATCACTTTCTGACCCTCACTTATAAATAAGATGTACCCAACTCACCAGTTGCTAGTCTCTGTTTGTTAAATGGGTCCATGGCAAAATCCAGCACACCACTACCACACTGAATTACAGGCAGGCCCGCATCAGGAAGCCGGCCAGGCTTATCTAACTGAAAACAGAAATTTGATCACATTGTGAGATAACTTATTATAAGTGTCTCTAATAAAAACAATAATTTAAATAATAATGAGAATAAAAATAAGCTATAATTTATAATCATGATAATAATAAATATCAACAAGAAGACCTCCAATGATTTGAAAATGGTCTTCAGGATGGTTGCTACTGAAATAAAAAATCTAAGAAAAAAGTCAGTTTTGCTTCTCCCCGACTCTGTCTTTGAAGCCACTTGCCATTATTTGCATTATATCTATAAAATTGGTTCAAAAATGGTCAGGGGTTTTCCTTCAATTGCACCTTGGTGACAGCTCAACCAAAGCCTCCCCCATGCAAAGGAATTCACTGCAATTAAATTCATAAAAAAAAGTTGGCTTGGACAGATACAAATGCATGTTTGATGGATTACTTACAGGGACCACAGCTATTTGGCCTCCAGGTCCTGATAAAGGAAAAGCGGCAAACTTCTGATTGACTTGAAAACCATCAGAGTCTGCTAGTACTGATATGCTCAAATTCCGTACATTGTCTATATTATTGCTTTTGTGCATGGGAGTGCCATGAAGATGTCTGAATTTTGATGTACGTGCAGCTGTGAAAGTCTTTCGTGGCTTTGTTGAAGGTTCTGCCTCAGGACCAGCAGATGATGTTAATTTGTTGACGGTTTGTTGAGTTTGTTGAGAATTAGCTTCTTCTTTTGGTGATTCTCTGGACTCACTTGTTGAATGCTTAAACACAAAAATAACAAAGATACCTCCTAATTACCCAATATTGCACTATGTAGGTAATCTCTTTACACTCTATTTAAGTTGTTGAATGGCAGGTCATGCCATTAAGAATCCACATACATTCCCATTGTTACAATTCTTAATGGATTAGGTAGAGGTCTTTGTTGAGTCACTTGGTAGGGATGACACATACCCGAGTCTTTTCTCATGCAGTGTAAACATTTTATTACCTTACTACAAATTAAAATAGAATATAGTTTAATGTAATGTTAGGAAAGAACTTACAATAACTTACCTTTTCTACAGCAACACTTGGTTTCTGACTTTCTGTTGCTGGTTTTGGCTTGAGTGTGGGTTTCTGTGGTTTTTCTTGTGCTGTTGTTGTTTTTTGACATTCCATTTGTCGTTTTGATGGATCAAGAGAAACTCTCCTTAACTGTTGGGAAAAACATGCCTTTTTAACACTAACTCCAGTCAATTACACACAGGAAGATTCAGATGTTTTCTTCTTTCTGTGCCTGTGACAATATAAATGACTTTGTTCCTTATTACCAAAGCAGGTCAGATTTATCATCTCTATTAAGGTAACTACAAATGAAGTATACATGAATAACACAAGGATCTGATGCTCTGTAACTTACAGGGTTATTGGATCCACTGAACCACTCTTCTGCTGTCATGGATGCTTCTCTTGCAAAAGTATCAGGAAACAAGTCTTCATGAAAATCCCTGTAAGACTTCAATAAAAAAATTAATTGACTGAGTATCAAGTTAAATGAATGCAGAGGCAGAACAAAGAAAGAAAGAAAAATAGAAAGACAAATTGGGCAAAGGACCAAACCAAAAAGGTGAAAAAATGAATGAGAGAAATGATGATAGAACAGTAAAACAAATAAACAAAGAAGGAGACAATAAAGAAACGGACAAACAAATCAGTCATGAGTTACATGATTCAATTATTTCTTTACCTTTCGTGGCACACAGTAACTGATAGGGACCACTGATGATTTTGTTAGCTGAAGAAGTCGTACCACTTCACATTTCATTACATTCATGGCAAGTTTAGGTACAATGGCCATACCTTTGTGCTGTTGGTCCATCACCTGTGATGACACTTGAAGTAGTACAGAAAATTTTATATCAGTAGAAATTTCAATACTCTCACTGTATCATAAAAAAACAAAGGCATTAATATTGAGGTCACACTCATTACCACTGGCACAGGATCAATCAAAGCTTAAGAAGTTAGCTCACACTACAGAACAGAGTAGTGACACTGACAGTTAAGTAATGAATACTTTTTTTCTAACAAATGTCACTTTATGTAATGAGCATGTTTAGTTGAGATATTTATCTCAATTACCTGAAGTAACAAATGATGTGGCAGTATCAGATACTTCCAAATACTGGATTGAAGAGTCACCCTGAGAGATAAAATAAACAAATGGATTAGGTCACAATAACAAGAGTCTATTATGTACTGGATTGAAAGGGGGGAAACCACCCACAAAGCTGCGTTTACTTCATGCACGCTGCTCATTGAATCAAATATGACTATCAACTCTCTCATTTTGATTTGCGAGATATTTTTAATATAACATAAATCAGGACATAAGAATGAAAAAGAATATCAGGGGGTATCATGATTTGACACCAAATTCTCACAACTACCATTGTAGGAAACGAATGGAGACAGCATGAAGAATTACTCTCAACTTTTCGAGATTTTGGGAGTAAAAGGGCATTAAATAAACAACGTCAAGTGCTGTTTGGAGTGTGTTAAGTTAGTTAGTCATGTAAATAGTTTAATGCACCCCTTGTATGTATTAGAACATGTTGTCACCAAACAAGTATTAAAATTACAATTTGGACATAAGACAATGTGGTAATAATGGATGGTAAAAACAAATACAAGAACAATAAGGTATACACAATAATACCTTCCCAGCTAAGAACAACATGTTGGTGTCTGGATCAAAAAATGGCATCAGAATTCTGCATGTACAAAAGTTATGTGGATAAAAAAAGAGATGAGAGTGTTGGCCATAGAATTACACTGCTTGGATTAAATGTGTGGTGTGGAATGTTTGGTAATACCTAAAGTCACAGACAGTGCTTGTTCCATTTGCGTGTCACACAGAACAATGAATTATGCACAATTTTTTTAAGAAAAGTTTACAAAAGCTGTTTGTTAAAATAACCGTTTGTTAAAGAAAGTGAAATTTAAAAACTCACTATTATCCTGTAATTGAAACTTGTGTTTTGACAGCTATATCTGTTCTTTATCACCTTAGATTTCAAATCTGATTTTGTAAAAAAAAAGCTAGGAAAGTTAAAAATGGTAATAAACTTTGAGTTCACTTACCCAGATGATGTATCAAAGCTCATCCTCTGTAATGGACTGCATATATTTTTCACATCCCTAACAACAACTTCACGGCTGCGAGACTGTTGAAAGAGTAATTTAGAAATGTCTCATGTTTTCAAAAGACTCTTTCAGCTAAACTAAGTAATATTCTTACCTGACTGAAACCTGTGCTTATAATTTTGTCTGTGTTTCCCAGCCACAGCACTCTTGAGTCCTTGATTCCTTCCATGCCTTCACATTCCTGCAAACACAGCACACAGTCACTTAGTTTTGAAATATTTTTGTTAATTCCTATCAACACTAAATTCTTCATCTTTCAAAATGAAAATATAATCATACAAATCTGTCTAAAACACAAAGTGAGTGAGGCCCTTGATAATGGGACTAGCTAATACATGTTATGTGCATGTACATCATTACCATTATCAATATTATTCAATATCTATTATAACATAGCCAGCAAATTTGTCTAATCAAATTCAATTGCACGAGCATGCTTCATATTCCTATTATGCATGCTCATGACATCAGCAAACAAATCCCTCAAGAAAAAAATTTTCCACCAGGTTGAAAATATTATAAAACAATTGGTTCATACGTCATCTGTGTATTCATCGATATATGAAGCACTTGGGAAGTTTGGAGAGTACTCAAGAAGCTAGAGTTGCTCTCGGCTACACCTTGAGCAACTCTTATGCATCTTTTGTGCCCTCCAAACTTCCCGTGTGCTTCATATCTCAATGAACACGCGCTGATGTATGAACCAATTGTTAGTTTGTATACTCACCGCAACAACAGAATTTCCACGTGGGTCTAGGATGCGCACCTTCTTGTCCTGAGAAAGTAAAGGTTAGAAGAATGATGTCATTGTAGAAATGTACTTTATCAGAATAAAAATTATGTGAAATTCTTATCCGGTATAAAATTAGAAATATAACACTGTCTTATAAATAGCTGACCTTGCTGGATGTAACTAATAAAGAACCATCCCCTTTCCAGCAAAAACTTTGAACCAAGTCGCGATGGTTTTCCAAATCTGTACCCAAACAAGAAATGATAAAACACCCTTTGATTAATACACAACTGCAAATATATGAAAATCATATATGTACACTGCTATTGAAGAAATGGATGTAGAAGCAATCCTCACAGTCACGAATACTACTTAACTAGTAGTGAAAATAAGGCTTGGAAAAAATTCAGGTCTGTATGGGATTTGAACTCATGACCTCTGTAATACAGGAGCAGCGCTCTACCAACTGAGCTAACAAACCAACTGGGAGCTGATCATTATGTTAGTTACAAATAAAACCTCCAAGTGGTGAATACATGACTGTAAATATATGAAAATCATATATGTGCACTGCACTTATTTTCACTACTAGTTAAGTCACATTCATAACAGCAAGGATCACTTCTACATTCAACCCTTTGATTAATTGTGTTATATAAATGCATGTAGTTCATATAGAGTATTATGAAATATTAAATTATTATTTTAGTTAAATAGTAATACTACTCTTATTGCATAATATGATACTGACTGTAGTTCAGCTGCTGTTTCTGTAGATCCCAGATGGTGACAGACTTCCCACATGAACTAGCTAGTACCTATTTCCAACAATCAGCAAAATCATAGAAAAAAATCACACAAACAGTAGAGTATTTTGTGATTTATAATCATGAATGAAATCTCATGTTTTTAAAATTTATGATTCCACATACGGTAGGTAATAAAAAAAGATGCAAATTTAAATAAGGTAAAATGTTTTCTTGTGCAAGTCTTTTCATTTAATATTACCAATCATACCATACCTCACTTGCTGCAGGATGGAACAGTACATTTTCTACGCGACCCTTAGAAAGAGAGTAACAAAAAAAGTAATAAAAAAAGTAAACTCATAATCACTATGGGCATTTTTTGTTCACCCCATGGAATTTTTTAAAGCCATTTAGCAATTGGGTTGTTGATGTTTTCCTATACATTGTTGTTGTTTTGTATCTTTTTAAAATGGGAGGAGGGATTGAATTACAGTTATAGAAATATTAAAGTTTTATTACTGATGTTGTAACTTACAGGCTGCTGTGGAAGAGTACAAAGTGGTGCAGACAGAGTCTCTTTTATGCCTTCCCCTGGAATTTGCCACAGTTTAATCTGCAAACCAGATAGAAAATAGAACTAGAGTTACAACAGATATTTTGAGCCTGGTCCATTTTGACATTTGACAAGGAGGCAGTAAAAATTAAAATTTTGTAATCTTAGAGTATTTTCAAACTTCTTAAAAACATCACGGGTAACTGCCATCTTCTCATCAAGTTGTCAGTTTAAGCAGCCTCTACAAGCTTGTGGTTAATAAATTTTCAGACACAGAATTAAAAAAAAAATTAAACTTACTGAACAGTCAAAAGAACAAGTTGTAAGAAGCCTTCCATCAGAGGGTGAAAAGTCCAGGTCAGACACAAAATCTGAACAAGAGGAAAAGGCCAATAAAAAAAACAGACTAAGTAAGAGAGATAACTTCCTCTCCAGATCAAATGACTGTTTGAAAATGTTCAAGCAAAGCTGTCCAACAGAGCAAGGAAAATATCATCTAGTAACCAATAAAATTAATAATTCTAATGATAATAATAATAGATGTACCTGCATGAGCATGGAGGAAAGGCAGTGACTGTTCCTTCCTTCCTACCTCTTCAAGAGGAAGAACACCAAGACTTCCTCCACCTGAGGGATGAATATACTCTGTAAATGGCGATTACCAAATTTTTACATTGCCCTACTTCTTTAAGGTTTGTATTCTGTACTTCTTAAGAGAAAATTTAATCACTTAATAAAAATTTTTCTACATCTTATCTGCCTGTTTTCCATGACCTAAAACAAAGTGGCTGGTTCTTGAATCAAGTAAAAACAACCAAGTTATAGAGGCAATTATTATCTTTGTTTTTTCAACATGCAATTTTCAATAAAGGTTAAAATAGATGGTGTGATAAGTCTTACCTCCTGCATCCACATTGAATGCCATGAAGATGTCACTTGCTTTGATGTGATTTCCATGGGAGCTCATTAGGTTTCCAACTCTTATATCAGTAATGGACTCCTAGAAAACAGGAATATTGTTTGGTCAAGTATATAATGTGTTCAAAGAAATATTCATAGACACTGTGCTCTATAAAAGGATCACTCAAACCACAAAGAGTTTTGACTGCTCTTCCCTTGAGAAAACCTCATGTGGCAATTGGCCAAGTTTGCTGGCAGCAAGCTCTCATATATGATGTATTAATTGAAATCCTGTTAAAATCCCTATATATAATTTACAAACCCCACACTTACTGGGAACACACCATCTCCACTCCTATCTGGCTTGCATCAAATAACTGCCCCACCCCCCTGGACCCCAGGAAATGGATTTGACTTAATGATTCACTGCAGAGTTGGACTAAAAAATTAAACATAGCCCTTAAATAAGCATACAAGGCTCTAACACACTATGGTCAAGTTTTAAAACAAAGCCTTCAACTGCTGAACATTTGCAGCATAATAGACTTCCAAGGTTTACGATGATTGCAGTCTAGCATTATTTCTTGCATTTAATCTTAGATGCCAGATAAAATGAAATTGCCTTAGTTTAGTTTCGTACCGGTGCTCTCAAACCCTAATATCTTAAGTAATTATACTGCTTGTCTACGAACGCAAGTAGTCTATGAAAAAGAAAAGAACTGAACATAAGTCAAAAGGTAAACTGAAATTTGCGAAGTACGTAGACTGACAATCGTCATTGAAGCAAAGATCGTGAACAACAGCGGCACCTACCTCTTTCTTAGGAATCTTCGGAACTGCATTTCGATATTTGGAAGCCTTAAAACGATGCATCTTTGCAATTTATCCAATATAAACAAATAATTCACTCAGACAGCTGTTTAATGCTTTTCAGGCACGCGAGAAATCTCGTGAAATCGCCAACTTCCTCCACCGGGACAACCCCGCAATGCCATATGGGAATAGTTTTAAAAATTTCCCGCCCTGCTGGAAATGGGAATGGTAAGGTTCACAAGAAAACAGGAATAATTTACTCAAATTAACTCAATCTTCTGCTCCTCTTACCGCAAAACATATTCCCAATGGAATTTCCCTAAGTGTTAGCTTCCTAAGCTTCAGGAAACAGAACTCATCAGCCATCAAGATGAAGATAAAATGGCTACTGTCTCGGATCAAGTGAGTAGCAAGGAAGGAGGGTTCTCCTCTCCCAAACAAGTCTTCCACGAAAAGTGCAAGTTTTCATTCACATTCATTTGATATTTATTTACATTGATTTTTTTTACATATACTAGTTCATTTGCCCAAACATAATGTTGGGTATACAGAGCTCAATGTAAATTTGAAGTTTAAATATACTCTTTGGCTCTGAAACCATAGAAAGCAGTCTTTGCTGATGACATTTTTCTTTATGCTCCTTTTAATGTCACCTATTCTCCCACCATTTCTTGCTGGAACATTCTATCAATTCACTGAAATCTGAACAAGATACCCCATTGTATGCACTTGTGTTTTGCTTGTCAAGTATTTCATGTTTGAAACTCATGATAGGTAAAGCTTTCTTTTTCACTATTTCACCTAAGAAACAAATTTGAGTTAGATGGAGTTTCACTCTACTTGTGGTATGTACAATACAAATTGCCTAGTTTCCAGCCAAAAAATTCTGCTACTTATTTCCCACACAGCAAAGTGCAATGAAATACAGATCACATATTTCACCCATGGATTGATAGTTTTGAGTGCAATGAAATACAGATCACATATTTCACCCATGGATTGATAGTTTTGATGAGCTTTTAGTAAACAAACTAGAGAGTAACAACAAATATCATTTGAACTCATAAAAGTTCAGCTGAAAATATGTATTCTTTTAGCTGCAACTCCTAGCTACCAAATTAAAAAAAATAGCCTGTTTGGTAGGGAAAGAGAAAAAAAGGTAATTACATGAATCATCTTAGGGTAAAAAAATTCAGAAATTTTTTAAGTACCAACAAAAAATTATATCGAGGACACTGATTTAAAATGGCAAGAAACTGGGAAACACACTATAGAAACTAAAGAAATGAATCTTGAGGAGAAGAGTGCATCTCTTGATAGTTGTCAAAACCACCATCTTCTCCCGTGAGGGAAAGAAGCTGCGGCATCGGAATGTGTGGAATATTTAGCTGCATGGAGGCAAGGCTTTGTGGAGACAGTGGGTTGTTTAGAGTTGGTGATTCCACTGAGCTTCTCTGATCAGGAGAACCCTTGTTCAAAATGACTGCTGTGGTCTTTGGGGTTGATGATGCAACTGCTTTCTGTTTTGGAGTTTTGGTCCTTGCTTTCTTTACAGGAGGTTCTTTGGGGACCTTGTCTGATGTGTATTTTTTCATTTCTTTTTCATATCTCTCTTTATCTTTTTCATACATTTCATAGTAAACCTAAAAGATAATAAAAAACAACCAATAAACAGTCTTTACATGTAAAGAAGTAGGTGATGACTTCAGAGACATTGTTGGCATAACCTGTATGTAAGAAATGCCAATATAATTCCAAGAGTCAGTTTAGCTTTTATATTGTTTTTAACTGTTTTCCTCTTCCTGCTAGAGGACTTTCCTATAGACAATGCAGGATTGAACAACGTGTAACATTGTATAACAATGTCCTTTCTTTTCCAAACCTTTTTATCTTCAGTGTCCAAGTTATTCCATTCCTTGGCAAGTGACTTAGTTAACTCATGGTGTCCTATATTGGGATCCTTCTGATCATCTTGCATAACAGTGCGCTGCTGTTGGCAGTACATAAAGAAAGCATTGGCTGGTTTTTTAGGTGCATTTGGATCTTTGTCTTTGTCCTTGTCCTTTGAGTTATCACGTTTCTTGTTCTTTTTCACAGGTGGTGAGTCTGGACTCATTAATTCACCAGGTAAGAGGGGAGAAGGTGCAGATTTTGGAAATGCCTCTGAAACTATTTCTGAGAGTAGTTCAGCCTGGGGAGAGAAAAAAATTGCTATGTTAGATTTTTAGATTGAGATATGAAAAAAAACAACAACAAATGTAGCCATACATGTTGCATCCCAGTTAATTAAAGAGTCTTTAAAGGTAATACTTGATGATGACTCCCAAACAAAAATTGGTTGGATAAATCACTTCTTTTTACAACTAAACATTCCAATGATGATGTGATATACTACAAGGTAATCAATGGAAATATAAAATTAAATTGAGCCTCACCTGAAATGGTGGCTGTGCAGCTCGATAGTCATCATTATACTCATCTAATCTGTCCTTGAGAAAGCTAAAAACATAATAGATTGAAAAACTAAGAGATACATTTACTTATCATAACATATTCACCCTTTCAACTCCAGAAGTAATCATTAAATACTATCTTCTTAAAATTGTCGTACACTGACAACCAAACAGGTAATGAAAACTAAGAAAATTATCAGATTATGGAAATAGCCTTGGTATAACTTCAATTCTCTCAAACAGCCCGCAAAGAAACTTAAGGCCACCAGTTAGGGGAGTTAGCCTTTGAATCCTTTTAGTGAAATTGTTATTTTTTTTTTAGCATATTCCTTAGTTATGGTCACAACGATATTTTGTTGTTACGAGACTTCTCTTTCTATCATTGCTTTTCTGTAATTTTTCGCTAGTTCTTGGTACATGTCAGCATTAGCTCTTTCGCTGAATCGTACTCTGTTCATCTCTATCAGTAACAACTTGAGATAAAAGTTTTCTTTTCAAAATTATTTTATTGCTTCCAAGTTAGGAGACTATCGGTAAAATTCACCGAGACAGGCAAAATTCTCTTACCTTCGCTGTTTTCGATAGCGCTTTAGAAGAGTCTTAACATGGTATATACGATTGACTAATCTCTCGTTCTCCTGTGGATCAAAACAAAGTTAAGGTGATTTTCAACTTCGTCAACACTCAGTAATTAGTAGCCCTGCATTTCAAGATATGTTAGTTCTCCCAAAACCGTAGCGTACATCACCTGCTCGATCTGCCTGCAGTGTTTAAGTAAAGTAAAGTATTTTTGTTTGCACACAGTGTCGTGATCTGTAAAAAGATCTAAAGACACATTTTGATCTTCTTCATCCGCCATGTTAAATTCTAGCACTACCCAGAGGCCATTGCGTTCATATTTCTTTTGACAATTCCAGGGTAGTCCCTCAGGGATTCTCGGTTTCCTCCTAATGAGAGATGCTACTGGAGACGAGGTTGCAGTCCCTAAATTTTCCTCAACGATTTTTCGTCACTTTTTCTAATGGTTTTCACTTCATTTGAACAACTAACCATACTGTGCGCAAAAAGGAAAAAAAGAAGCAAAAATTGAACTTGTTAATTTCATCTAGACCCGCAAAAAAAATTGATAGGGTAAAAAAAGCTGTGCCTTGCATCATACTAGAGATTTTACCTGGAGGGTGCTATCCTCTATCTCGAATCAACGCGCTTGTTGCAACAAAGCGATTCAGCTCCTCTTCTCTATGAGCGTTTATTACAAAAAGGTAAACATCAAGTCCAATTGTTAATAGGCGTGGGCGACCGACAAGAAACCCTTAGTTACTTTTGCCATTTCAGCGATACAACGAAAATCTCAGTGTTACAGCTGCTAGTGTTAGCTGTTTGATGAATGTCTCAAAATGCAGTTAACTTAACGTAACTCACTGAAAAGAATAATGGAATTTCATTTACTCAAATACTTTTAAGTGACAAAACGGTCGCTTGGAAATTTCACTCTGTGACATCTATCTATTAGGGCCTTTCCGCACTTGCGAAAAAGTGTTTCTTTTGAAAATTTTTCTGTCGTCACCAACATTTTATAAGTGCGGATACTTTGTCGCGACTTGACAATTTTTGCCGAAGCGGAAAAATCTTCAAACGCACCGCCGATATAATTTGTCCTGGGTAAAAACTGGACAAAATCGACTGAATAAACAAAACTGTGATAAACTTGTCGATCATTTGTCGTAAAAGCCACGACTAGCGTGTAATTGAACTAAAATCAGTGAAATATTGTCTTTTATCGCTTAAGTCGGGGATTCTAAAATTTTAAAACGACTTAGGATAAATCATTGAAATTGGAGTCGCACGGAATCCTTTGCCAAACTATGCTGGCCGGTCTTATGAACAGATCAGGCGCTGACGGAATTTGATGACTTTGACATTATGAATGCGAATGTAACTGACGAAACCAAAATTTGCCCTTTGATTTTAGCGGGAAAATTCTAGTTTTGTCTGCTAATGCGGAAAGGCCATTACATACGAAAATTACAGAATCTTCAGATTATTTTGAGAAACATCGATGTCCACGGGTTATGATACATTATGGGTACAAAATCACGTTTAACAATTCTATTCCCAGGTTTCAATTCAAATGCATTGTAAAGACAGATGCAACATTCTTCTGCATTCAGATGGATAACAATAAAGTCACAATGTTTTCGTATTAGCCTTAGTTAGGTGGTAATTACTGAAGAAGTGATGTTTATACAGTACAATCATTTCAACCTGAATCTTTTGTTTTAAATTTGTCTCACGATTGTTATATTAAAACAAAATGTAATGTTTCGATTAAGTGACTAACAATAGGTTCAGTTGGCTTATTAAGAATCGTTTTGCGGATTGTGCCGTTAACTACGGTAAAAGCAACGACACCTAACTGATTGTAATTTCTATTGAATGGTCAACCCACATGTGTCCAATCCACCTTCGCAGGGGAGACAATTCGTCGCCCCTTTAAATTTCTAAATCTAGTAATCATACAGGTGCACAAATGAAATCTTGAGCAAAGGCTGCTTTCTGAGCCTCACAGACCCAGAAGGATTAACAGCTTCCTTGTGATAAAACAAAGCGCTGAATCAAACAACTGAAGATACAAAAACTCCTTGCTTCCTAAATCAGCTCTGATTTTCTTCCTTACTTAACTCTTGCGGACCATCGCCAAAGGTAAGAACAGGATTATCATAAGCCTGCGCCGAATCCGCCAAGGAACTCTCCTGACTATCTATCAAAAGTTGACGACTTCCAACCGACCCCGCTGACCTGGGAACGTCTTCTTTAGATTCAGCAACAGTCATTTGATTGTCCGACAGCCTTGGAAGGTTCCACTCTGGCATACCCAATGCGCCGACATTAAATTTATCTTGTTGATGAGCATCACCATTGGTTGTGCCAGTTAGTTTACCGCGGCCTCTAGCAGGTGACCTATTGAAAGAATACGCTCCAACTTTAAATTCATCATCAGCGTTGGGATCAGCAGCTGTCGCATCCACTTCCACAGGTTCTCCATAGTAGTTCACCCTGGAGTAGGAACTCGCACGAGGGATACCATGAAATCGCCTTAGTTCATAATGTGTGTCGTTGGTAAGGAAAAAGCTTCCCTCACGTCGATCCTTGCGACATCGGAAAATAAGCACACAGATGCCGACGAAGAAAACAACAGCCATCAAGGTACCAAATCCTATGTAAAGATAAAACGCAATTTTATTGCTCTTGGCTTCGGTTGTTGGGGCCTGTGTAACTGGTGACGTGGGACGAACCACTTCCAACTTACTCGCCCTGAACTTTTTTTCTCCCAGAGTTACACTAAAGTTTCCGCTGTCGACAATTTTCTTTAAAACTTGTACCACATTTTTTAATCCACCTGATTGGTGAATAGTCATAGGAACTCGAATTGAACCACATGCAACATTCCCCATCACAATTGCTGATCTTGGAATCCTAAGTTTACTGGATACTTCCATCTGCACCACCTCTCGAAAATCGTTCTCCCTATCTTTGTTGCTCTTGACGTAGTTACAATCTCCATCAAACACGACAACAACGGTCTCATTTTCATAAACAAGTGGTTGTTCAGTCACTACCTGTGAAGATGAAGGAGTTGGTTTTCTCGCGGTGGTCGCTGATGAGATAACGATCGATTTTAAAGCCACAGTATTTGATGTCGTTGAACTAACCAAAGAGTTTGTCATTGTGTTTACTGGTCCAATTGCAGAGATCGACGCTGAAACAGTTGGACTACCTGCGAGCATTGAACGCGACGATGTTGGGGTAACTTTAAGACTTGAGCTCGAAGTTGTACTACTACCTGCAGCACCTGAAGTTAAAGAGGCTGTGGGAGTTGCCGAGACTGATACGGAAGGTACACCACTAACAACAGGATTCGAGCTTGAAAGTGCGTCACTGACAAAAGGACTTGTACTTGAAAGTGCTGCACTAACAACAGAACTCGAGCTTGAGAGTGCTGTACTAACAATAGGACTTGTGTTTGAAAGTAAAGTAGTAGCTGTACTGCGTGAACTTGAAAGTGCTGCACTAACAACAGAACTTGTACTTGAAAGTGAAGCTATAGCTGTACGGCGTGAACTTGAAAGTGCTGCACTTACAACAGGACTTGTGCTTGAAAGTGCTGCCGTAACTGTAGAGCGTGACCTTGAAGGTACCACAGTGCTTGAGCTTGATTGTACTTGTGTGAAAAAACGGCTTGAGCTCGGAATAACTACAGGACTTGAAGAAGCAGCACTAAAAGCACGACTTGAACTCGAAGATGCTGATAGAGCTAAAGACCTAGACCTTGAAGACGCTGCTCCAACCACAGGACTTGAGCTTGAAGGAGCTGTGCTAACTGCAAGACGTGAACTAGAAGGTACAGGTGACACTATAGATCTGAAGCTTGAAGATGCTACACTATCTATAGGACTTGAGCTCGAGGGTGCTGGAATAACTGAGAAACTTGAGCTTGAAGATGCTGGGATAACCATACCACTTGAGCTTGAGGGCGTCGCACTAACTAAAGGAATTGAGCTTGAAGGCACTGCACTAACCACAGGACTTAAGCTTGAAGGCACTGCACTAACCACAAGACTTGAGCTCGAAGGCACTGCACTAACTACAGAACTTGAACTTGAAGGCACTTCACTAACTACAGGACTTGAGCTTAAAGATGCTGGAAAAACTGCTGGACTTGAGCTTGAAGATGCCATATTAATTACAGAGCTTGGGCTTGAATGGACTGGAGTAACTGCTGAAGTTGAGCTGGAAGGCATCACATTAACTGCAGGACTTGAGCTTGAAGATACAGTAGCAACTGCTGGACTTGAAGGTGCCATACTAACAGCATGACTCAAGCTTGAAGGCGCCGAACTAACTGCTGGACTTGCGCTTGGAGATGCTGGAGTAACTACTTGACTTGAGCTTGAAGATACCGCACTAACTACACGACTTGGGCTCAGGTGTGAACTGCTTACTGCAGGTCTTGAACTTGAAAGCACTGCACTAGCTACAGGGGTTGAGCTTGAAAGCACCACACGTATTGTAGGGGCTGACATTGAAAGCAACGTACTAGCTACTGGGGATGAGCCTAAAGGCACCGTACTAGTCATAGGGCTTGAGCTTGATAGCACCGTTCTAACCAGAGCAGTTGAGCTTGAAGACACTTCACCAGTCACTGGGGTCGAACTTAAAGTCGACGTACTCACAACAGCACTTGACTTTCTTGAGTTTAAAGATGCCGAGTTTCCTTTAAGTGCCCTTCTCTGTCTACTATGAACGCGGTTGTATTCTTCCCGAAACGCCTCTAGAATGATGTTTTCAATTTTTCTTCCAGAAGAGAAAGTGATTTCTCTTGACTCTAGACGATTTCCATTGTTTCCTGTGAAATTGAGGTCCTTAGGTCTGGGTGTTTTCATTGAAATCACATTCTAGAAAGAGAAAGATAAAAAAAACTTCGATGAGTTCGAGAAAAAAGTAAGCAAGGATCGAGGATTGGGGTCAGTTAACCCACACAAGGAACACTTAATCCGGCCACAACAAATTTTACTGACTGATATAACTATTCCAATTGAACACGATGATAGTCGCAAATAATATCATATTAATTTACAAAACTATAATTTAGTGATCAACTGAAACCATCACCAAGCTTCAAAAGTGAAGGAGTCGGAGTATGGCATACAGTCTCTCAAACCTTCGCGGGGCTTATTTTACCAATATCTACATGTAATCAAAGTTCATTACTAAAACGCACATTTTCCAAAAAGGTAAGTTGAAATCTTAATAATTTGGCGAGTTGTAAGAATAAACATATTCGTGGAAAAGTTCAAAATTATCCAGGCGTCATAATCTCCGTTAGAAGTGAACATTTCGAAGCAAACGGCGTCATTCGGGAGATTCTATTCCAACTTAGTAGCACTTTGTTCTCAGCAAACACGAAACGTTAAAAAAGAAAAAAAAGAAAGAGGTCCTGGCTCTGACTTTGGTTTTCTACCGAGGACCCAAATTGCGCAAACTTCTAAATCTTCTAACTGAAAAAGAAAATGTCTTGCCGAGAGTGACAAGTGTTGGTTATTTTCCCAGCCTTCAACCTTACTTTTCACTTGGTTTACGCATACTAGACCACCAAAAACGTGGTCGTGAAAGCTACCTGGAGAAAACGTGACTGAAAAACTATCCTTTCCTGCAAAGCGCCACCATGCCTTCGGTGAAGGTCAGGGGTTCAACTACATCATTGGCTGGCGGTTCACAGTGGGAGCGCGATGTTGACATAATTCTTCGAGGGGGCGTGAAATGCTTCTTAACCTCTGGAAGACGAAGACTCGCAATACGATTTCCACATGATGTCTCCTCTTCAAATGAATTCATAGAAATTGTGGGATTGACAGAGCGCCTTGAAATTTGGCCCAAACGTTTGCTGAACGAAGAGGAACGGAATTTTTTTTCCTTCCTTCCTAGCGGCCTCGAAAGGCGACACGTCTGCAAATACTCGACAGAGAAAATCGATAAATCGATAGGTACACTGAAATGTTCACACTCTTTGAGAGAATGATCTTTTATGACTGCCACTATGCAGTTACACTTCGTGATCGATCAAGTTTAATACCCGATTTATTCGCCCGATTGGCATTTCAATTCAGTTTTAAGTAAAACAGCCCTCACTACATGCCCTCTTCTCTATCAAACTAACCAACTGATGACATATTGCACTAATATGACTCTGAATTCTCTGTAAATAATACAGGATAGGGAATTATACCATTAAAACAAAAATGTAGCCAGCTACCTTTTCATCAGCTGCCTTGCCACTTTCTTTGACCATCCTTATTATTAGTTTGGTTTCCAAGGGTAACAAACCTTAAAGATAAAAAAGTCATCACCTTCAGAAATGGCACAAGGTGTAATTGGGTATTGGATGAATGGGAGAGTTGGCTGGGAAATAACAGATGAGAAATATAAACTAAGTGATTTGCCAGGTCAGAAATTAAGATCTTAAATCCTACATTGTTAGTTACCCATTCCAAAAATTGTCTGTCAATCATAATCATAACAATGTGCTTTTAGTTCTACTCCAAACAATGACAAATACTTGAAATGGAAGAGAAAAAATGAAGTGGCTCAAATCATCAGTTTCAGTGTGATGGCCACTTACTATCAGGCAACTGTGGGACAAAATAACTAAAGAGTAAATTGAACAATGTATTGCCTTTATAGTGTGAGAGCCTCTTTCCAGTAACAACTAAGACAAATATTGTTTCCTGTATCATACCTCTGTTCTGTGCTACAGTCAATATCTGTGGAACCTCTGTAGTGACCGCCACACATATCAAAAAATTTGGCTTCTTCTCTAACAGCCATGGAAGAAAGTTTTCTTTTCTAATGGAAATGTATTTCCTGTAATGATATTAAAAAGTTTTTCAAAATGATGTTGACAAACCCATCATTATTGAGGTGAATTGCTGGGAAATGATGAGAAATGTCATATATTACTGGAAAATTAAACTGTGTGATTAGATGGAAAGTCTAGGAATACAAAATAAAACTTTGGTACTGATAGAAGATATGGACAAAAACCTACAACACAGACAACATGCACTGGATTAGGGTTCAGGGAACCTAATGAGCAACTGTGGCTGGAGCTAATAGCACAAGAAACATCACAATTTAACATAAAAGAGGGCAATGATAAGCTCCCATACAGCTCAAGGGTATTTTTAATGTGGTGATGGCTTCAGAGGCATTATCCAAGCCGGCATAATGACTATCTTGAGAGAAACTTTAAAAAATCCCTTTCTCTCACAAAAAATTTCCTTAGCCCTGGAAATGCCCCAGCAGGGAGCATTTAAGGCTTAGCAGAGCTTATTATCAGTGTTTTATAAGGCAGGGGTCGCACTAGTGCTTTTGGTGTTTACATTGGACATAGAATCTGTCATAGCATGCTTACGACAAGTGCGACCCTTTTGTCGCGTCCAGACATAACTATGTCCGAAGGACCTAAAGATCAAACAAGCCGATGTCCTGCCTCAAAGCAGGTCATATCTTGTCTAATGGCCTTAAAATAACAATTTTTTATTTTTCTTCAGTCGTCAACGTCAATCAAATCTGAAATACGGGCAGAAATTGGAGTTTTGCAATTCTGCAAAGGCAACACGTGTGCACTGCTAGCTACAGCTATCGGGTTAAAATTTTAGTCACCGGTTTTCTCTTCAAACGTTTTATCATGGCGAATTTCAACCCAGTAATTGACATCCGTCGACGTCGGTTTAAAGCGGCAAGGGCCAACATTTGCCGTTGGCGAATGTTGTACAATGCGTACAAACCAATAAGGTTTTGTACATTGAACAAATTAAACAGAGATTGAAGAAATGTCGCTAATAAAACTAGCACCAGCCTCATGTCTAAAAATTATATTTGGCGCTCTTTTCGCGCGTGAAATATAAAGAGTTGACAGACTGGTTTCAAATATCATTTATGTCGCGCAAGTGCGACCTCCATGACTCCAGTGGTGTAAATGTCGCGACATATTTATGGGACAACTTATGACGCGACATAAGAAAAATAAGGCCACAGTGCGACCCCTGTTAGGTTTTAGTCAAAATCTATTATCACAGCTAACAGGATGTGACCTTTGATGATCGCCAAAGTACAAAACCCACCCTAACACGTTAAACATTCTCTCATGGCCTCATCAATTATTTAAAAGAAAAGGCTCATGAGAGAAACTACTTTCCCTTGAACATCAAAAGCAGTTTTGGACTAAAGAGATGTTCTGTAGTGAATAAAAAACGCAAAGAAACTCTCCGAAGAATAAATATCAACGAACATCATGGTCGCGATCAGATCAAACTAAGTAAACCCACACAGCTGAAGAAACGAATATTTTTTCCCAAAACAAAAACTTCTCACCGTAGTGGTAGTGTCTTACGCATCTAAATTATTCACATTATTCTTTTAAATAATTTATCAAAACTCAAGACGGACTATCATTCTGAAATGAGAACAAAGCATATTAATTTTGTCGCGTGGCAAAATAACTAGCGGAATTCAAATATAGTAATTTGTTTCCAGTGTGAGCGCGAACCAAATATCGGAGCAAAGTCCGCATGAGAATATACAATATAGGTGACTCTCACAATTAAGAGCATTTTTTCGTAAGCTGGAAAAAATAAAACACTTTGGCGTTGCTTCAATGTTTTTAGCGAAAATTGTCGCGACAGTTGAGGCGAAGGGTTTCAAGAGGGGCCAAACCTAATTACGTGCCGCCGGAAAAAGACTGGCTTAATAGAATTTTTGACAGTTTCAGATGCATTCAGGTCCTTTACACGAGAAAATTTTGATGCTTGAGCGATCTAACATCTCAGACCGCGAAAATGTACCTCAACTATTCAAGCTCGGAGACAATGGCAATTATTTGCTGCTTGAGTCTCAAAGAAGTCTTATATAATAACAAAACACCTCCATAAAACAACAAGAATTAAACAAAGCGAATGATTTTACCGATCTTGTACACTAGCCAATGTCTGAAATGAGCCGTGAGATTCAAAGCCGCCATCTCGTGCTCGTTGAAGGATAACAAATTCATTCCCTAAATTGGCTTGATCTGCTCCTAGGAAAGATGTTTGCAACTTTTCAGCATCAATCATCGAAGAGCCAAGGTCTGCAATAAGTAAGATCCTTGATTTCTGCCAAACATTTGCTGTATCAGAAGCTGAAAGGTTAAAAAAATAGAATCAATGAGGCTGAATGCACAAGGCGATATTTCTCAATAATTACATTATTCAATATTTTTTCCATGGCACGAAGCATTTCGTAGCATGCAACGTGTACATCGTAAGACCCGCGAATGAATGAGTTCATTCTATCTAATACATTGCGTAAACTATTTCTTTGCAGATGCTATGGAAAGCGATGTGATTTACTTCATTATCTACATAATGTGCTTACCTCTGCTAATGAAAGCACCAGTTCCAAGATAAAGGAATATGCTGGCAAGCATCGTCGAGGTCTTGTAACTCTTAAAAATCCTTCGTTTGTAAACAAAATGAGATAATTTCATTCAAATTAAAGCGATGCTTTATGAGCTCAACAAACTTGGCGTTGGCAAATATATCATAGCGTATCACTATCCCTACTGTTGATATTGTTAAAAATCTAAAGAATATAACACAAACAACAGAAGATATTAGACCTCACTACCGCTAAGAACTCGCACCCATTTGTTCAGCCAAACGTACTCGCGCATGCAGGATACTCTGTTAGATTCCGCAGTTAATTTACAGTTACGTCACCGTGACTGAGTAATTATCAACTAACCAACAAAAATATAACCTTGGTTAATCTGGAAATTTCAGTCTCTTTCCGAACCACGGCAACGTCAAGAATGATAATGACACAATTGAAAGAGAAATTAACAATGCGGAATAATAAAATTGCGACTTCTTTTCTTGCGGCAAAAAAGGTTAAATGTTGATGAAGTTCTTGCGAAGTGTTTGGTTTATAGCGGATTTTGGGAATTTAAGGCATAAGTGCCAAAAGCTAACCCTACAGCCAATTCTCTCTCCTCCGTCTCGATTTAGTGGAAAGATGAATGTTATGCTTTCGTGTCTGTAACAAATGCAACTGTTACTGATCGAGTGCAAATCTCCTTTGCATTTTTTTAGGTCCCCTGCTGTCAATCCTATTCGGCAAAACTTCTGAAAGCTGTCAACAACTGTTCAGTACAACGTTAAATTTTCCAGGGCTCATCTTTGTAAAACATTTTCACTGTCACTGTTACATGTCACACAGTGTCAAGTTTATGTCACAGAATAATCTGAGTTTAGAAGTTTTTGAAAGCTTGTTTTTTTTTTTCAGGCATTTTTTAAACTTTCTCTGTCTTCTCTGTCCTATTTTTGTCGTACAGCGCTACAGTCGAAATCAAAGTACAATTACTGTAATAGTCCTCAGGCAAGACATGCTAAAAATGAAGAAACAATTAAAACAAATGACAACGCGAAGTGAATCTGTTTATTCCACTAGGTCTCACTATGGCCGATTGTGAAAGGATTATAAGAAAAGGATATTGGTGTTACAATGTGAAAGCGTGCAGTCATTGTCGGTGAAAATAAGAGCTGTCGAAGAGAATGAAAGAGTTGTTAGCATTGTAGCAGGGATGAACATCCTGAGAGAGTGGAGAGAAACACACACACATTTTGAGGTAACGGCTATCATGTGCCGACTTGTCCTGTGGACGCAGGAAATCATAAGCCTAATTTTGAACTGATGAATTTTAAACGGTCAGTCTCATTTAGGAGATTGTAAAATTCCATTCACAGGAGGCACAAACTAATAGAAAATAATTTTCTTTTGAAAGAAAATGGATCATTAGGAGTGGAAACTAGAGGGCTCTTGAAATGAAAAAATGTCGGGTGCGTTCTGCTGTGGCGGAAATCGCCTCAATTTTTTTCACTTTACGGTCTAAAGAACAAATGTAATCACGAACGCGAAAGTTGATGCACTTATCTCGAAACAATTAAGTATGGCTGACTTCAAACCTTTCAGACGTGAGATTTCCAGCCAGGCTTTTAACATAATTATCTGCTACAAATCCAAACCTCTGGAAATTTCAGCATGATACGCATGTTACATAATTTCTTCCTCCGCTTTGCCTGCCATATTTTCCGAGAAGTCTTTTTTCAGAACTGTAAATGTGATAAGATTTTAAAGACGCAGGTCGGATTACAAGATTAAGAACGAATAAAAAGTTGAATAATGAATTAGCCTAAACTAAATTGACAAATTAAGAAGGCTTACTTTGTACTACCTCGCTGACACCTACATAATTCTTTTTGTAAGCTGAGGGTCCCAAAGGATAGGGCCGATTTCTCAAAATTAAGTAGACAGTTACTGAGTAGTACATGACAGCAGATTGTTTTGTTGCTCTCAGCTGATCAAAGTACTGCATACTCAAAATCTTTAGCCGAGCTTGATGCTTGTCTAGCTGTGAGGAAATGTAATTTCCTTCGCTAGCTAGAGTTTCTTTAAGATCAGAACTTTCCCAAAAACGCGAATAAATCATCTGAAAGTTGGTGAACGTTAAACCTGTTCGTTCAAGATGATGGAATTGAACCTGACGCGCTTGGATTACTTACAGGTGCAGACGATGTTTATGGCTTCCTTGGATACCGAACTTTGCGCTTGGTTTTAGATATTAATTTATCGGAACTGAAATGAACGAACTTTTCTTTCCAGGTCGGTGTCACGTCTCCTAAGACGATGAAACTGTTATCTAGTGGTGGAAAACGGAGCGCTCAGAAGGTTAAACATACTTTGGATCATCAGTGCAGTTGGTCGTTCACGTTACTAAGTTCGAAATAATTTCATTGATTTCCAAAGAAAACAAATATATCTGTATTTTGAATTGGTGTTGTATGTTTTGCATGGAAAAAACTAAGTTTTTCTGTTTGGCCTGCGAGCTGGCGATTTAAAGTGAGTTTTCGATCTCAGGAAACGAAAGATCATACACACTCTCGACGTTCCTTTTCTTCCTTACTTAATACAGCATTTTCCTGTTCTAACTGACTTCCAGATTGCAATAGCTGATCATGATGGAGTACTTACTTGTTTTGGGATGAAAAAACAAACTTCTCAGGTTAGTTGTGTGGCACAGACAGTACTCAAATTTAAAATAAGGAACTACAGGAACAATTAAATCGATCACAGTAATTATTCCTTCGTTAGAAAGCTGGGTGCATCGATATGGCGTGATTGGTTTGGAGAGGGATAAGAAGACTTGGTTGAAATTTCATACCTTTTGTACTTAATTTGATTCCCACTTACTGTAATACAGGTGGTTTTCAAAACACTTCCAGGATCACCAATCTCTAAGTTGCAACTTGGTGGCTTGGATGGTCCTTCGCAGGAGAAGGTGTTTGTGGCATCTGGGGCTGAAGTGCGTGGCTATACTAAGAAAGGAAAGCAGTTCTTAGGATTTGACACCAATCTGACCGAAAGTATTCAGTCCATGTAGGTCCAATGTTTATCTTTCACTTTTGGAATAATAAAATATGTAAATTATGTTTTTTTAAAAATTTTGTGATGTTGAATAAATTACTATTAATAGAAGCATGTTGTCTTTTTATTTTTGGCAGGTATGTTAATGGTGCTGATCTTTTCCTTTGTGGAAACTACATTTACAATCATTACCGTGACTGCAAAGATGAAAACTATTTCTTGTCCGGAGATAAGATTACTGATGTCCTTTGTTTACCAACAAGAAAGTGAGAGAAATTTTCTGATGTTTAAAATGAAAATCACATAATTTCTTACACCTTGGTTAACTGTTATTGTGGTATTTTGTTCAAAAATTTTGTATAAAAACAATTTTAGTAGGGGTAGGATGCAAATGCCTTCTCATGCCCTTTCCCAATACTTCTTGACACAGTTTACCAGAAATAATTGTTATCCAGCAGCCCAGATAACTCAACAGATTTTTGCTGAGGCTTATCTGCTGGAGTGACACAAAGTTTATCACATGGTTAGCAGTTATATACCTGTCATGTATCATAACTTTTTGGTGTCTCATCAAGAAATTCTATTTTGGATAATTTTAGAAACACAGATGCGTTAGTCCCTATTTTGGCCTGTGAAGACAGAGTCTTAAGGGTTTTACAGGTTAGTGATATTAAAAATTTTCAATTGGTAGACAGACTGAAATATTGCTGTAGCCACTACATAAGACTGATGTTTCCTAATAATGAATACTCCTACTACAAGATGTAACTCAATGTTGAAGTAAATATTATAATTTTTTTTACAAGGATTCTGATTTGCTGTATGAAGTTGAAGTAGCTGGACCACCCATGGTGCTTGCTCTGCATGGTGGGAATGGAGGTTGGTAGTAAACATGGAATACAAGTAATTTTTAACAAGCCTTGAAAAGTATCTACCCAGGTGATTTTCGGAATGGTCATAACACTGATAGGAATAACGCGATGGAGCCCTTAAAAAAAAAGTTTACACTAGTCTTACACACTTATTAACCCTTCGACCCTTAAGATTGACCAGCTTCTAATTTCTCCCTACAATAATACACTGAATCCCACATTAAGGTCACAAGAATAAGGGAAATGATCTGCACCAAGGAAATTCTTGATTGTTAAATAAATTCTCCTTGTAAGCATCCCTGGAGTTGTATAGAGAATATTCATTATGATATTAAAGTGTAAAGGGTTAATTAGATGATATGTAATGAGTTTTTGCCTCTGGTGCATGTTTATACTAGAGAACTATATACACTACAGTGTTTACTGCTTTTATTGTTTATGTGTGTCAACATTTGATGCTTTGCATCAGATGATTACCACAGAATGATGACTTACTATAGTTGTAATAGTTACTCTCATACTTAATTTTTGCCTTATCTTAAGGTTTGTCTGGAGAAGAAGTTTTGTATGGAACATCAGATGGAAAAGTGGGCATGATTCAGTTAGGAAGGTATATGAAATGACTTAAAGTATTTGAATTTACATAGAAACAAGCTGAACACTTTCACAATTTTGTGCTCTCACCCAAACATTGGAATTGTCTGTTCAGACATATTCCATATGTTCATGGTTTTCTGAGTTTAGTTAAATGTTACTAATCTTCATCAAGGATACAAATTCACCCATAAACAACTAGAGGAAGAGTCCTCTTGACTGATAAAATCACAACTTTTTAACAAACTAAAGTCATTCACATGATAACTTTGAAATATTTATTTCCAGGCATTCACCAAATCACAAGTGGGAAATTCCAAATGAAAAGCGGAATGGAGGTGAGTGAGTTGATTTTAATTATTTGTTGACAAAGAAAGACCCTAAAAGAAGGTTTTTTATAGAACTAAGATGCTGCAAGATCCTGGGAAATTTTTTTTATTTAATAATGGATCGGAATTGATTGTCAAAGCTGCATTTAATGTTGTTCCTGGCAGCCAGCTGGCATGCATTTGTATGTTGCAAGTTTTGGAAAATGAAACAACTTCAGGAGTTGAGTTAAGATTTAATGTGTTCTCTTTTTCTACATTTTTTCAGGTGTCTTGGCACTGGAAACTTTTGACATAACAGCTGATGGTGTGCCTGATGTTCTTATTGGGCGGGATGATGGTTTGGTTGAAGTGTATGGTTTTGATGAGATGGATGAGCCAGTTCACAGATTTAAACAGGTTAACCCTTCGCATCTTATCTTCAGTATGCATCTATGCTGGTATATTTGAATCTCTTTATATTTCCTAACATGCTGACTGGAAGAATTTGTTTAATGGTCAAGCTTATTTAGTTAGTGAACATTTCTTTTAATTCTTGTGACCTTAATGAATGATTAGAGTTTGATATAGTGAGGAGAAATTAGATGTTTGTCACAAATAATTATTGATGTAATAACATCTCAGCTGTTTAATAAAAACACTCACACAGGTTAATGATTTAATTTCCAGGCTTTAAGTGAGAGCATCACATCTGTATGTGGTGGCTGTGTGAATTCCTCAGGATATGATGAGATTATAGCAGCTACTTATGCTGGTTGGGTGGTAGGTTTTACTACAGAACCTCAACAGAAGGAAGTTGGACCCACTACAACAGCTGCACAGGAACCAATCAGTGAAGAGGTACAGGCAAAAATGGAGAATCTTAGGTAAGAAATACTGCAGGTCACTCAAGATTTACTCCCTTAATTGCAGATCCATCCAAGGAGCATTAACAGTCTGATATTAATTATGTAAATTAAGGTATATGTAACTTTCCAGCAAAAAGTGATCAATCTTTTGAAAGCGTTTTTCACCAATTAAAAACCACTTCTGTACATCAAAATTTTCACCAACACATATACATTTTCAAACTTCAAGCATTTTCTTATTATTGTGAGTAACAGAGATATCACTTTTCAGGGTAGAAATTGACACTCTTCAACAGAAGGTGCTACAGGAACGGGAAAAATACCAGCTAACTGCACACTCCATGTCTGCTCTGTCCGCAATTCCTCAGTTTGCAATCAATGATAAGTTTGCACTGAACAGGGATGATGCCAGCTATACATTGAGTATTGAAGTTCAGATTCCCATTGACAATGTCTTGTTACAGGTAAGCTCCATCTTTTGGAGAGGCATTTTTCTAATACTTAACTTCATCTTGAAAATCTGTTTGGAAACAGTAACTGCAGGAAGGTCTCACTGTCTCACTGTCTCAGTCTTAGAGTGAATTTTTATCACCTTGAAGTAATTTTCCACTAATTATGTTGAGATGTTTTGAGGGGAAATGTGACATGTGTCTGCCATTTAGATAAGATAATTATTTTTGTTTTACATTTATTACTATTTCTCTAGAGTGATGTACCAATTGATCTTCTGGATGTGGACAAGAATTCTGCAGTGGTCAGTTACAGTGCTTGTGATATTGAGGTAAATGATGGCTTTCTTAGCACATACTTCACTGACTAGTATTAAGTTAAGACCTTGCATGTACATGCAGTATGAAGAATTCTGTATACAGCTATGATAATGAGTGTTTCAATTTTCTTTCAGAATGGCAACTTTCTTCTTGCAACTTACAGATGTCAGGCAAACACAACAAGGCTGGAATTAAAAGTTTGAAGGACTTTTCAAATCTTTTTACCAGTGCTAACTTAATGACACAAATCACATTAGCATTGTACTACATGAAAAGGAGACAGGACTCAGAAATTTCTTGGCATTTCTAACCTGAGAGAAAAATCCGTCCAGTTACTGATGAGAGATGACATTTAACCCACATTTTAAATTTCACTCAGACATTTTACAATTAAAGCTTTCTCACCTCCATTTCATTAAATTCCAGATCAGATCAATTGAAGGACAGTATGGCACTTTGCAGGCATATATCACACCCAGGATTCAGCCCAAGACCTGCCAAGTGCGACAATACAGTATCAAACCACTCTCACTACACCAGAGAACTCATGTGTTTGACGAGTCCAAGTAAGACCTCATAAAAGTTGGATTGTTGTTGTTTTGCAGTCAAGATCTCAGTTCCTGAAGTTGTCCTAAGTTTTGTGGTCTGATTATGTTTTCAAAAGTTTCTTGAAAGGTTACATGTAAAAGAAGTCTTTTGATTTTCAGTTTTTATGAAGTTTCCAGTTTAAACTAATTAATTTTCCCCTTTGTGTTTCATTCAGGCCAATGAACTCATTGAAGTTAATGGGCCATTTCAGTTTTGCGGAAGTTCATTCCTGGGTTTGTTTCTGTCTCCCAGAAGTGCCAGACAGGTTTGTTAACTTAAGAAAGAGATTTATCCATAGTAAGTATACATTAAACCTTTCCTTGAGCAATCATGATGAAAAATCACAACATGCCAATAGCAAAATCAGAAATACATTCATTTAAGATAATTAACCAGAAACTTATATTTGTAGTTTTCTATCTGTGATATCAATAAGTCACAACATTGATGTTATCTCTGTTTTTGTTGCAGAACTCCTGCTGGAGAGCAAGTGAGCTTTCATTTCCTGTCGACATTCCTTGATACACAGTTAGACTGCCAGTACAAGTACGTATTTGTTTAACAAATTTCTGTCATCAAACGTACTTTACATTAGATTTCTGTATGTCTCTAGTTGGTGCAGTGCTCTTAGTTTTTCAGTGTAGAGTCAGAGTCTTATGTATGTCTTTTATTTCTTTGCAGAAAAGGAGAAGCCATCTTTAAATCTGACAATATCTCAACAATATCAATCCTCAAAGATGTCCTCACTAAAGAAGCTACTAAACGAAAAATCAACCTCAATATTTCTTATGGTTTGCATAATTTTCTTACCTTATTTATTTCATTGCCTTTCTTATCTTAGTTTAATCAGAGGTATACTCTTGGCTTGTTGTGTGATGACCCCCCTCTGTTTCAAAATGTCCATAGCCTTTGAATTAGCAGGAGTTTTACAGGTTCCATCCTCTTTTCAGATGCACCTCTTAATCCCACCTACTTGAAATTTGTCATTTCAGATCTCAATGAAGATTCTGTGGTCCACACACTAAACCTTATACATCCAAAGTTGGAATATCAGCTCTTGCTGGCCAAGAAAGTCCAACTCATTGAGGGACTAAAGGTCAGTGCGTAAATGGCTTATAGCTATTGTTTCTTGCAGAAACATAAAATTGATGATGGTGGATTTCTTTTTTTCTTAGAGTAACCTGACACTTTTGCCTTTTAGGAACTACAGATGCATGAAAGTGATATTGGATTTTTTGCTCCAGAATACCAAAAAATTCTTGGTAAGACAAATTTATACTGAAATGTATTATAAAGGGTAATGAAGTCTCAGAAAGGCAATTATTGCATTTCAAAAATATGCTAAGGCATCCTCTTTAAGGATGAAATAGGAATTTCCCAATGATAAAGATAGGAGGTAAATGATATTTTCTACACTTTTAGTATCCTCAGTATTCTCAGGCATGCTTTTTTAGGAGAAAACCATACACATAAATTTCTGATAAATTCATAAATATTTTCTGTAAAGATGATGCAGAAAACCTCCAAGCAGAATACAAGAAGCAGCCCTGCCACTTGGAAAGACTCTATGGTATCCTTCATAGAAATCCATTTTACTAGGAATTTATACAGTTGTTACAATCTTGCATGGAATCTTAAATCTCGACATTTCAGATAATTGATTTGGATATAAAAGCTTTTTAAGGGTCTGGTCAAAAATAATTCAAGGTAATATGGTAAAAACCAAGGTTGCCAAAGGGTTATCACCAAAAGTTTTGAGAGTTAAGTACACTTTACTCGAGATGAAAATTGTTCAACCCTCCAAAAACTAAATGCCATGATCCTGTTATGCGAAATGGCCAAACAATCAGCAGTAAAGAGAAATAGTAAAACAGAAGCTCAACCAGTAATACTTTCACAGAGCTGTGGTAAAGACAATAAATATCTTTTCTTGTTTGGTATCATTTCTTAACAAGTTTAAGGTATGATTACTGATCTCTACATAGACAAGTTCAAGTTCAAAGTAAGAATTGCAATACTTATGTAAACAAACCTTTTATTTTGACCATTACCTGTTGGTCAAAGGTAACTCTTCTGGTTTTCAGAGGGTTTCTGTACAAATAATCCAGTCATGAACATATTGTGTTACATGTTGATTCTGCAGTTACACTATTTTAATCAACAATGGAAATATCTCATGTTGATAAATCTTGATAATTTAATTCTAGGGAATGAATGTGAAAAGCAAGGTTCCCATTCTTCTGGAGGTGCTGGACAATTATGATCTACAAAATCTTGTGGAATTCTTTGAAGCAGCATAAGCGATCACTCTTCTTTGCTTCTAAGCTTAAAATCCTGTAAGCACACATTTCAGAAATAGGTGTACAACAGAAACAATCATCAACTTTCCCACAACTGACTACATGTACTTCAAGATTGTAACCTTAGTTCAGAATGAACCCACTTTAAATCTCCTAGATGATTTAATGCATCCTTGATTGATTGGTTTCTATTTCCCTGATTTGTATGTTTGTCAATTTTATTTCAAGATTTTTGTTCATAAAGAGTGATTGGTCAATTCTAATAACATTCTACTACCAAATAATTCTTTTCTTGATTGTAATGATAACTTAGTCCAGGTTTTGCAACATCAGTCATTTAGAACCATCATTCACCTTAGTTCTTTGATTTAAGAAGCCACATCTCAATCATTGAACCATATAGCTGACTGTACACAAGACTATTTACTTCCTACAATTAACTGTGCAATTTTTTTAAGGTAATTTATTTATTTGTAATTATTATAAATAGTGATGCGGTTGGTTTGTAGTCTAACCTGCACAGCTTTAAAAATATATGATCACTTATAAAAATGTTCATGGAAGTGATTGTAGTCGGATAAGTTGTCAACAATTACCTACCCAAGCGTTTTAATACGAGGTTTAATGACATAAGAAATGATGTGCTTCTTATATGAAAGTATACAGGTTTCCACTTCATCTTTTCAGTTCCAGCTGATAAATATAAACATTCGAAAGTCATTCAGCTTATCTACCAAAATTCATCACGAAAAGCCTCCCAGCAACAGTCGTTCCAATGACCTGGATCTACTCTTTATACCAACTCCTATTTCTCGCCACTTTCTCGATATCCTACAAACTACTTTGCGTTGCCGCAATTTCAAGTATTGTACATGAATCCATCGATACTTTTAGCAAGTGCAATCAACATTCGTGGAACTTAAAGGAAGATTAAGCAGGAATAAGGTACGATCTTATTAAAATATGCGGCTAAGGTATGTCAGAGAATCTTTAGTTTAGCTGCTGCTATAACCAGCTGTCGCCGTGACTTGAAAAAGGAAACTCCAACTACGTGATGTTCTCGTTGTCGCCAATTCCGCTTCATCGGTTCCATCGATTCTCAGCTGCACAGAAACCGACTTTATAGACTCGAGTCAGTGTCATCACCTTCACTGTTTGCTTCTCCGCCAGTTACCCAATATCCTACAGCCCATAATTAGGGTTTCTTTTTACTTAAAGCATCTCGCACAGACTGCATGAATCTCTGACCCATCTCCTCAACGTTTGGAATTCCTTGGTAATTTTGTTGTATATATGCTCCTGTTAACGTGCCAGCAACAAGTCCCAGCACCAGCGTTTTGTTAATATGAGAAAAAATAACTCCAGCGGCAAAACCTTGAAGAAATGAGTAATCAAGAGGCGGTTTCTTCAGACTATCATCTCCTCCTTCGGGAGCCATCTTGATCGTTCCTCAAATTGAGATCCAGGCCCTCTCGAGTAATGACTCATTCCCTGTTTCTCAAGGTCAGAATTTACTGAAGAAGGAAGGGGGGATGGGAGAGAAGACGATTTTAGTGAGGAAATTAATTACGTTGTATTTGTAAAACAGAATATGATTAACTCAGGATAATTTTATGATTAATTATGAATTTTTTTTAATTGGAACAAGTTTGATTCTCCCATTGTCTAATTCAACAGCCTCAACTCCCAGCTCTCTTAGCCGTGAAGTGTCAGCAAGCCCTTGGCAATCCATGGCTGAAACAATTCTTTGGTTTTCTTTATTATTCTCCAAGAGGTTTCTGATTGCAAAGATGGCCCACTGACAGATGACTGAACTCAAGGTCAAGGAAGAAAGAATAAACAAAGATGGACAGAAAAATATAATGAGCCGAAAAAAACAACCCCCCACAAATGTACAGTAGATCATAAAGTTAGTGCTCTTCTTCAAATGCCTTGCCATTCATTTTGATGTAATCCTTCTCAAAGCTGATTCTGTAGTGAGCCAAATGAAATTCTGAGTACAGTGCAAAATAATAACCAATTAAAATTGGAAAGGATACAAGGATTGTGATCATCCACATTACAGTGATCCAGTAGTAATGGAATTCCTCCTAGGTCACGTACCTGCAACAATGTACACAATAATTTAACACAATCTGTGATGAGCATTTAATTAAAAATAATTCTCCTAATGAAATATAATTCTTCTAAAGCTGCAAGGAAAATTTTACCACTCAAAAAACATCTTTACCTTGTTCTGATTGGCTGCATGTTTGTAACACATATTCCCTATGACTCGCACTAGATCTCTCTGAAAGCCATGAATAGGACTCAGTTTCCCAGAGTCTACACCTTGTGGTATGGAGTGTGCATTGCTGAAAGTTTCCTTTACCTCTGAATTAGTAGTCTCCTTTAATAAGCCTAAAACATAGTTTTTTTTGGAAATAAAAAACTGTCATTTCCTCTCTATATACAAAACAAATATTAAGAGCTACTATATACATCAGTGTAAAAGGTAAGAGAGTACTTTAAAAAACTAAAAAAAGTACATGTATTTCTCTCTGATACATGAATGTGTGAATTTGGTAAATTAATACCAATATCCCCTCACATAATTGTCACTTATACAACTGTATTGCTTCTCCTTCATGGTCCCTCTTCCTCAAACCACGAGCAGCAACCCTCCCAAAAGTCATTTGACAGCTGAAGGCTAAGGCCTATGGTCATTTACAAAAGCATTGGCCCAAGGTCCTTTTTGACCAGACACAATAAAACTTTCAACAAACCTACACAGGTGGTAAGTAATGGGGTTCTTTCTTGTAGACCAGTGAGGTTTGATTGTAGTCCTGTGCCAATGGATAATACACTTAACAGCCGCGTAACAATCAAGACCTGAAACTAAATACAGGGACAAGTGATTACCAGTTTGCAAACATAATATGAGACAAATCAAGA